GTGCTTCATCTAATAGCACAAACAAATTACCTGGATTGCAGTTGCGATTACATTAAAAGTACATAGTGCAAGTGATCAATACTGTTTAAGATTCTGTGCAGATTATTACAGCAGTTGTGAAGCTCTCCACCGACCTGCGACCTTTGCATGCTTTCTTGAACATGCACGCTTTCTATGATTACATAAGAAGACATGAATAGTTACAGTAGGCTAACCTCAAAATGTGGCCATGGGTGTGTTACTCATTTTAAGGTTGAATAAATACTGTTACATTAGTTTGTAAGATAGCCTTAACTTTAGGCTATTTACTGTATTACATTGTATTGACAACGCAACCAAATATCAACATTTAAAGGATATCTAATGCTTGAATAGTTTCATCTGAGCCACTGGCTTAATCCTATTATTTAACTTTTATTTTTGGTTTAGTTGGAGACGTGAGTCCAACATATAATTTGTTAACTTGTATCTATTTACTGTATTGCAAAAGTGATATTGAATTGTGTTTGGTTGTCAACAAATTCCAGTTTGTATACAAATTAATAATTGATATGTTAGATTCACGTCTCCATCTCAACCAAGAATCAATCAAGTTTGATTAGATTAGATTTAGTCCTATTCTTTAATTTAGAATTTTGATTGAGATGGAGATGTGAATCCAACATATCAATTATACATTTGCAGACAAACTGGAATTAAAGCCAGACTAAGTCAGTGGCAAAGATGGAACTATCCAAACAGAAGATACATCTCCGTTGACAACCAAACACAATTCAATATCCAGGTACAAATTCAACATACACTATATATACAAAAGTATGTGGACACCTCTTCAAATTAGTGGATTCAGCTATTTTAGCCACACCAGTTGCTGACAGGTGTATAAAATTTGAGTACACAGCCATGAAATCTCCATAGACAAACATTGTCAGTAGAATGGCCTTACCAAAGAGCTCAGTGGCTTTCAATGTGGCACCGTCATAGGATGCCACATTTCCAAAAAGTCAGTTCCTTAAATTTCTGCCGTGCTAGAGCTGCCCCGGTCAACCGTAAGTGCTGTTATTGTGAAGTGGAAACGTCTAGGAGCAACAACGGCTCAGCCGCGAAGTGATAGGCCACAGAAGCTCACAGAATGGGACCACCGAGTACTGAAACGCGTAACGTGTAAAAATCGTCTTTCCTCAGTTGCAACACTCACTAACATTTTTACATTTACATTTTAGTCATTTAGCAGACGCTCTTATCCAGAGCGACTTACAGGAGCAATTAGGGTTAAGTGCCTTGCTCAAGGGCACATTTACGTCATTTAGCAGACGCTCTTAAACAGAGCGACTCACAAATTGGTGCATTCACCCTATAGGCAGTGGGATAACCACTTTACAATTTTTTTTTGGGGGGGGGGTAGAAGGATTACTTTATCCTATCCCAGGTATTCCTTAAAGAGGTGGAGTTCCAAACTGCCTCTGGAAGCAACGTCAGCACAAGAACTGTTCGTCGGGAGCTTCATGAAATGGGTTTCCATGGCCGAGCACTCCAGAGAACGTGTTTCCACTGCCCCAGAGTCAAATGGTGGCAAGCTTTACACCTCTCCAGCCGAGAAGCCACACACAAGCCTAAGATCACCATGCGCAATGCCAAGCGTCGGCTGGAGTGGTGTAAAGCTCGCCACCATTGGACTCTGGGGCCGTGGAAACACGTTCTCTGGAGTGATGAATCACGCTTCACCATCTGGCAGACGAATCTGGGTTTGGCGGATGCCAGGAGAACGCTACCTGCCCCAATGCATAGTGCCAACCTTAAAGTTTGGTGGAGGAGGAATAATGGTCTGGGGCTGTTTTTCATGGTTTGGGCTAGGCCCCTTAGTTCCAGTGAAGGGAAATGTTAGTGCTACAGCATACAATTACATTCTAGACGATTCTGTGCTTTCAACCTTGTGGCAATAGTTGGGGGAATGCCCTTTCCTGTTTTAGCATGACAATGCCCCCGTGCACAAAGCAAGATCCATACAGAAATGGTTTGTCGAGATCGGTGTGGAAGAACTTGACTGGCCTGCACAGAGCCCTGACCTCAACCCCATCGAACACTTTTGGGATGATTTGGAACGCCGACTGCGAGCCAGGCCTAATCGCCCAACATCAGTGCCCGACCTCACTAATGCTCTTGTGGAGGAATGGAAGCAAGTCCCCGCAGCAATGTTCCAACATCTAGTGGAAAGCCTTCCCAGGAGGCTGTTATAGCAGTAAAGGGGGGACCAACTCCATATTAATGCACATGATATGGAATAAGATGTATGACAAGCAGGTGTCCACATACTTTCTGGTCATGTAGTGTATTTTATACAAGGTTTGTCTATGTTGAACATTTGTTAAAATGATGACATAATCCTGTGGTTGAAATGTCACCCTCAAAACAACAGTTTACGTTGATTACTTTTTTCAAACCCAATGTATTTTCCACGTAGATTCCACGTCACAATAGGTTGATAAATTACGTTGAAACAACGTTAATTCAACCAGTTTGTGCCCAGTGGGGAAGGACTAACCACTCATCTATGTAATGCCAAGAGTTGATCTTAGTAAAAGACTGGGAAAAGGAAAAACAAGCAGTAGGTCTGCATTGAAAGTATGCATTGATATGCTATATTATGCACACATCCTTTTGCCTTGGTATAGCTTCATCTGGTGTACCTTTACAAACCCATATAATGTCTATGGGGCTGAATGGAAGAAATCGTTATTTTGCCATATCGCTTACTGTGGCGGTGTCCTCTGACACTTGAGAAGATATGTAGGTGACCTCATCACCTTTCATAATGAAGGAACACAAACAGGCCATGCAAGCTGTCAGACCACCATTAGTAATTTCAACAAGCTAATTCACACACACTTCATCTTAAATGACCATGGAGAATGTTCTTGGCAGTTAATTTAGTTTCAACAAGCATGACTGAGTACAGCCTGGCAGATGATCAGCCTTATAATTGAGCTAATAAGCTACATTCAATTGACTATAGGGACTTTCACCATATGCTTTTGTGTTTAATCATGAGGTAGTTCCTCTGAGACAGTTAGAAACATTGACAGATTTGACAGCTCGACACGTTGATGGGTTGTAATGATGGTAGTAGGAACTCCTGGAAAGACAACCTTTTTTCCTGTGAGTCACTCTGCCTGCGGTCACACCAACTCTCACTCAGCTAACCACAGAAGTCTGACACCTGTATGTGGTTGGTTATAGCTGTTTTTATTAGCTTTTTTTATGGCATTGTGTCTGATGATATGGCATAAAAGTGAAAACAAAACAGGGTTTGTGTAGATAGTACTCTCTGTTGTTGGAGATGTCAATCATTAACCCCTATTCAACCTGTATGAACTCATTTGACAGACATCTACTGTGTACAGCTACTGTCTCCCCAACAGGAACTAGCCTGTTTTCCTAATTCCCACACTATAGTGGGTTAGATCATCCCAGTGCCCAAGAAAAACAAGGTGACATGTCCAAATGACTATCGCCCCGTCGCACTCACCCCGGTCGTCATGAAATGCTTCGAGAGGCTGGTCATGGCCCACATCAAGGCCAGCATGTCAGGCACACTGGACCCACTCCAATTTGTCTACCGCTCCAACAGATCCACAGAAGATGCCATTTCGATCGCTATTCACACGGCCGTAACGCACCTGGACAAGAGGAACACCTATGTGAGAATTATTTTCATTGACTACAGTTCAGCGTTCAACACTATTGTTCCCGCCAAGCTCGACACCAAGCTCAGAGCCCTGGGTCTGGACACCACCCTCTGCAACTGGATCCTGGACTTCCTGACAGGCAGACCACAGGCTGTGAGGATTGGTAACAGCACCTCCTCCACACTGACTCTTAACACAGGGGCCCCCCAGGGGTGTGTCCTCAGCCCTCTGCTGTACTCCATGTTCACCCATGACTGCGTGGCTTTGCACGACACCAACATCATTCAAGTTTGCTGACGACACCACAGTTGTAGGCCTGATAACCAACAACGACAAGTCAACCTATTGTGGTGCCAGGACAACAACCTCTCCCTCAATGTCAGAAAAACAAAGGAGTTGATTGTTGACTTCAGGAAGCAGAGGAGGGAACATGCCCCGATCCACAACAACGGGACTACAGTAGAGAGAATCAGCAGTTTAAAGTTCCTCGACGTTCACATCACTGAGGATTTGTCATGGACCAACAACACCACCACTCTTGTCAAGAGGGCACAACAGCGCCTCTACTTCCTAAAGTGGCTGAAGAAATTCTGCATGCCAGCCAGGGTCTTCTCCAAATAATCCTGCTGCACCATCGAGAGCATCCTGACCGGTTGCATCACGGCCTGGTACGGGATTTGGTCCTTCAACGACCGCAAGGCCCTCCAGCGGGTGGTGAAGATGTCCCAGTACATCACTGGGACTGTGCTCCCACCCATCCAGGACATCTACTTGAAACGGTACCTGAGGAAGGCCCGCAGCCTCATCAAGGACACCACACACCCCAGCCACAAGCTGTTTACTCCCTTACCATCAGGTAGATGGTATCGGGGCATGAGGTCTGATACCAACAGGCTCAGAGACAGTTTCGATCTACAAGCCATCAAACTACTGAACACTGGTCTGATCAGACTCTTATTAGGATTGCTAAATACATCCCCCAATCCCCCCTTCCCCAAAATATGTGTAAATAGTGGACTATAAATTGGGCCTTCCTGTATTATACTTATGCTAAAATATTTATTATATTCTACTGAGCCATTTACTTTATGTTCATATTCTTATATTTTATTATTTCTTATTGTTGTTGCATTGTCAATAAGGACCTTACAAGTAAGCATTTAATTGGACGGTGTATACCAATGATGTGATCGCCATTAAAATCTCAATCTATTCTCCCCATTCCCTCCTGGCTTCCTGTTTGCCACTCTACTTCTCTACCATGTGACACGCGCTAGCCTGTTATCACCACATGTGTTTCCTGTTCTCTTCCAGGCGCTGAGGATGACATGAGGGAGCCAACCTGGGAGTGTCCGGAGGTCCAAGCCCTCTTTCTTCTCCTTCTCTCCTCCTCTCTTTCTGCCCATTACCTCTGTGTGTGACGGTCATGACTTAGGGTTGGTGTGAGCCCCCCCCCCCCCCCCCCTCCCTTCCTTGGAGCACCGAGTCTTGGAGACAGTGCTTCACTCGCCTTGCTTACATGAGCCAGCAGGATGCGGCTGCGGTCCTTGCACTCTCCGAGCGCCTCCTTGTAGCCTCGCACAAGGGCCAGGCTGACAATGTGGTCCAGCTCATCAACAAGGGCGCCAAAGTAGCAGTCACCAAGGTACGTGGATTGGAGGAGGTTGTCTTCTTGTGTGTTCATAACACTTTTGTCTTTTCAATGTGTTTATTATACTAAGTAGTGGTGGTCACCCAGGCTGGGCCACCAGGCTTTTTTCTGTCAAACATGTATTGTGTACCATAGGAGGATGGTGGCACCTTAATTGGGAAGGACGGGCTCGTGGTAATGGCTGGAGTGAAATAATTGGAATGGTATCAAATACATTAAACACATGGTTAGATGCCATTCCATTTGCTCCGTTCCAGCCATTATTAGGAGCCATACTGCCATCAGCAACCTCCACTGCTGTGTACTGTTTCTGTGTGTAGCCAATATGGGTGGGTTTGTGTGGGTACTGTGTCTGACCCAACTGCAGCCTCATTGGGCCACCAGGGCAATGACAGTGGGGCTGATTTATGTGTGTAGTGTGGCACATCATTCATGCTATGATTAGATCCCCTCTACAGCCCAATTTCTAAAGATTAGTGGGACTGGAGCAGTATATGAATCTATTATAATCCTCAATCTTTCATGGATACTAGTACTATCTATAAAACTACCCTGTTTCATCACAGTAAGTTACAGTAGCTGTATTTTACAGGAAGGGGAATGTGTTGGTTACAAATTAACACGGCCACAAGGGACTCTCTCTAAAGCTGATTTTAACCGTGTGTGTGTTACTTGTGTGAAGGAGCTTTGTCATCGCTCCATCTGGCTGTCCGCGAGCACAGCTGTGGGAGCACAGATCTGGGTAAACACGCTGACACACGCAACACAGTTTAAACCTCTCTTTGAGGTCACACCACACAATGCTGGGAGAGAAGATTTCTTATACATGCCATGTAGCCCCAAGCCTCTGCACTGACAGGAGCTGTGGAGGAATACAGTACAAATGCAAGAGATTGACACATTTAATATATGCTGATGTAATACTGTATGTTCAGCTTGAATCAACAGTGTTACCACAATATGACAATAATGTATTGTCATCATTGCATGCCATGGCTTTACAGAATGTTGTATTGTATCTCCCAAAGACAGTGAACTTAGGTGCGTGCTGCAGTGTTTACATTAAATCCATCTGTGAGTTTGGGTGTTTGCTGAGAGAGTCACAGCCAGACGTGCTTGATTGAAGTAATGTGCGGCAGTAGCAATCCTGTCTGTCTGTGAAGTGAATAACCTGTCTTTGTGTCTCTGTCAGAGCAGCTCTGGTAATTAAGACAGACCTGAGGTGTTGAGACAATATGTAGGTCTTCCTCAAATCTTCACAGTCTTTCTCTTTATAGACCACAATGTGATACTGGCCGATAAGACAGCCAGGCAGAGGCCTTTTTTTCCTGAGCCTCATAAATGTACTTCCTCAATAACACATCTCTGGGCAGAAGCTTTCTTTCTGCTTTCTGTGATGTTCATGTTAAATGCTGTGTGCCCCTTTAAGAGCGCACAAGAGTTATGGGCTAAGGGAAACTTTAAATCCTCTTTAATTTGTCAAGAATGCTGCATTTTTTATTGTTTCAGGAAACAAACTGCAATTCTTACACTTACAGCTGAATATGAGTGAAATATGAATACATGACTGACTGAATATATTAATGTTGTCAGTTATCTATCCTACATGGCTGTATCTGATAGGCCTACCTGTCTCTGATAATGTTACATCTAGCTGTATTTTCAAGTTTTTGGCTGGGTTCCCTAGTAACAAAAAAAACAAGAAACATGAGGTTTACATTTCAGTTGGAAATTCCTCTGCTTCAGGGGAAGAGGAGGGGAGGGGAGGAGGGTATCGTAGTGGGGAGTGTGAGGGAAAGTGTCAAGTTTTGGATGGATGTTTTAGTTCTGAGGAAGAGAAACTCTTTTGAGAATGAGAAAGATGGAGAGAATAAGAAAGAGAGGAGTTAGAATATAACCAGTCGTGAGTTCTCTAAGGTCATACCAGGCCACGGAGCAGAGAGCAGGCCCTATCCATTCACAGTCTCCTGGGTCCTGACTGTGTTTTCCTGGCCCAGTGAAACTCAACCCCTGCCTGGCCATAGTGAATACCAGGCAGTGCCAAGCCGCACCCATGTAGCAGGCCACACTCGCCTGCGGTCTCTCCCCATTTAATGGAGGGCTGTGAGGATTAGGTGTTAATAAGGGTTTTTCTCTTTTTTTTATACCTTTATTTAACTAGGCAAGTCAGTTAAGAACAAATTCTTATTTACAATGACGGCCTACACCGGCCATTCCCGGACGACGCTGGGCCAATTGTGCACCGCCCTATGGCACTCCCAATCACAGCCAGTTGTGATACAGCCTGGAATCGAACCAGGGGGTCTGTAGTGACGCCTCAAGCACTGAGATGCAGTGCCTTAGACTGCTGTGCCACTCAGGAGCCCTTTACATTTCTAACCTTATCTAATCCAATACAGCACATGATCGTAATGTCGGGTAGTATCACTGATTTAGTCTGGCAAACAATCCATTATTACCATATAAAGATAAACCTCCCAAAACTATAAATACACATTTGCTCCATAGCAGGCTGCAGGTCCATAAGTCTGGGCCTAAGAGCCGGAGGATGTGGGGTCATATCCATAACCAGCTATAGAAGTTCCCTTCCATTCTAGCTCGTTTAAACCGGATGTGGATTAAACATTTGTTTGTTTACTGGCGACTCATTATTCAAATGGGTGGTGTGGCCATGACAGACAGATTGCGTGTGGCTTACTGCTGTGCCATGATGATAGCACCATGTGTTACTGGGTAGGCTGACCTGTAGACACATTGTCACTCTCTCTCTGTGGCTGTGTCTGACATACAGTCTGGTTGGCTTCACTTGGTTTCTCTCTCTTCAGTTGATGGTCTCTCTTCAATTGCTGTGCCCCTCTCTTCTGTGTGTGAGAGTGTGTGTTCTGTGTCCACAGTACGGCAGAAGTCCCCTGCATCTGGCCTCCTATAAGGGCCACACCGAGGTTGTGCGCATTCTCCTGAAGGCCGGCTGCGATCTGGATATCCAGGACGATGTAAGTACCCAGAGACTGTCTGTTTGTATACGGCCTTTAATTTGCTCTGCCCTCTTTCCATGTTTCCAGCTAGCACTGCAGTCATGATTGTGATGATGAATTTGTGTGTGGACCATTGCTTTGTTTTCTCTGGCATTGCATTAGTGTCGCTCATAATCTTCCCAAATGAACATCACACCCATTTTACACGATGTAATATTTGTACAATATCAGAATATTTAACATAGACCTTTAAATGTGAACTAGGTCACTTTTGAAGCACACAAACATAACATTTGCATGAAGATCCTGAGTCTGGCTGCTGGTGTGTTTGATTGCAGTGTAGTTTCTCCTGCGTGTGGACACCCTTTCCATTTCTCTAAGACTGTCACACTAGTAGTGTAATGACCTCCAGTGGCCTAGAGTGGGATTATTTGGACTGCCATCTTGAGGGATGCAGCAGACCTCCACGGGTCTCGCTCTCTGGGTGCAGGTCAACCCTCCTCCCCCTCCCCAGTCCCACACCCACAGATAACGGCCCAAAGCTCTGGCGCTCCCAAATTCTCTCCATCTGGTCAATGAGCTCCCGATCCCGAACGGGCCACAGTGCGTCCTCGGCCACCAATTGCCACAAGGAGAAGGGGGAGGAGGGGAGAGAGAAACTGCAGTGGAGGAAGGCTACTGGAACTGGGCCTGGGAGAGAGCCAGGAAGATCAGGGAGAGTGAAGAAGGAGGTTAGAGAAAAGCTACTCTGAGCCAGTGGAAAATAATCACTCTCCCAATCCACTACTACTGCACGTCCTCTGGTGTTGGGCACGCCTTTTAGTTATCTCACTTGGAATGACCAAACCACAACCCCACCTCCTCCACTCAAAGGAATCACTGCTTCTTCTTGCTCTTCTTTTTTCCACCCTTCTCATGACATGTCAAACCTGGTCTACAAAACGTCACTCTGTTGAGCTGCAGTTAGGATGGTTCTCCATGTTTGTAGGAATTCCATTTATGGTAGAACATAAATGAGCTGGGCTGAACTGAGTGCTTTTGCCTGCTGCTGCTGTGTGCTCTATTCACTGCTTTGTATGGAGGATAACCACTGTAGTAGACTGGATAGTATGGAGGCCTATCTGGTGTCAAACTGCAGTGTTGGATGATTGTTGTAACATCATTGTAATTTCTTGTGTTAATAATAACCTGAAACATAGTACTTGAGAAAGTCAGTTTGTCAACTGCAATGGAATGGAAAGTCATTAACCAGTGAATGTGGTATTTGTATTCATCATTGTCCTGTGAACCTCAGTAATTGTTGTGAAAACCCCTGACTGATCAGTGTGTGTGTGTGTGCAGGGTGAGCAGACAGCCTTACACCGGGCAGCCGTGGTGGGAAACAGTGATGTTATCTCTGCCCTCATCCAGGAAGGGTGTGCTCTGGACAGACAGGACAAGGTACATATCACACACACACGCACGCACACACACAGCACTCACACACACACAGCAGCGATCACACAGGGCTAAAAGCACAGCCCCAATGCACTCACAGGCATAGAGTGATTTTAAACCCTCCCAGAATTGTCAGACAGCACTAAAACGATTTGACAATCTGTAGAGAAAACACTGCGCCTGTAATCTGCTTAACCCCCATTCATTCCCAGCGAAGAAATAGGAAGCGTCCAAAATGGCACCCTATTCCCTATATAGTGGTCAAAAGTAGTGCACTAAATAGGGAACAGGGTGCCATTTGGGATGGATCCACAGCCCATGGAAGTCCATGTGAATAGAAAGTGTGTTTATGGCTAGGCCTAGACACGCAACCTCTTATGTTCCTCACTAATATCCTACTTATCTTGCTATGTTAGCTATTTTGACTTTAAGAGAAACAAAAACACTGTTGTCCAGTATGATAGTTACCAATCCAGAGGTCAGGTTGTGGATGTGTGAAGCTCTTGAGTGTGTGTTTGGTATTACAGGACGGTAACACTGCTCTGCATGAGGTCTCGTGGCACGGCTTCAGCCAGTCTGTCAAACTGCTGGTCAAGGCCGGAGCCAACGTTCACTCAAAAAACAAGGTAATTCTTCTGCAAATACTGTAGATGTGATTGTTATAATAATAATAATAATAATAATATGCCATTTAGCAGACGCTTTTATCCAAAGCGACTTACAGTCATGTGTGCATAAATGTTTGTGTATGGGTGGTCCCGGGGATCGAACCCACTACCCTGGCGTTACAAGCGCCGTGCTCTACCAGCTGTTCACAGTTATAAAACAGCTGTGGTTCCAAAAGGTCCTGTGCTGTGACTGCAGACGACTGGAGAGCTTTTAGTGGTGTTGAGTGGTGACCTGGGTGGTGTTCAGTAGGGCACACCATAGCAGAGATATAGAGCTGCAAACGGAAACCTGTGCTCTAATTGAACAAGTTGAGCTTTGTACAATACCTCCCAGTCTCACTCTGTCCCAAAATGTTCTCTCCCTATTAAACACAACCCTGGTGTCTGTCTGTCCGTCCGTCCGTCCATGTAGGCAGGGAACACAGCCCTCCACCTGGCCTGTCAGAACGGCCACGCTCAGAGCTCCAAGGTCCTGCTGCTGGGTGGCTCCAGGCCCGACAGCAAGAACCATGTAAGTCCTCCTCCTCCATGGGTTGGCTAGTCTATGGGGCGCCGTTTGTAACGTCCTATCATTTGTGAAAAATATTAATTCCGTGGCATGAAATATAGCATGTTACAAATGGCACTCCATAGTAGCCTTCCCATGATTTTAGACATGATCTCCTGGTATCTCTGAACCACTGCTTAGGAAATCCACAGTGACAACAGAAGCCTCTCTACGGTTAACTACAACCACAGAGCAGTTTGCATGCAGTCACTTAATTATGTAACGGTGTATACATGTGAGTGCTCTGCTCTGCACTTCAAACGTAATCGCCCCTCATGGGTGAATTGAAAAAAGTAGATCTCAAGTAGCTCTCAATGCAGTTCGTTAGTCCTCTGATACACTAGCCACTTCCCAGTGCCATGCATCGCTCCTATACTTCTCCTTGACTGCTCTCCCAACAGCTGTGTAAAAGGAAACTCAAGCTGTGTGTGGTGGTGGTCTCTCTTCATTGTGTTCCAGGTGGGTGACACATGTCTGCATGTGGCGGCCCGCTACAACCATGTGTCCATGCTCCGCATCCTCCTGGGAGCCTTCTGCTCCGTGGCAGAGAAGAACCAGGTTAGTCTGAGCATGTGACTGACTACTTTCACACAGAGGGCTTTTCCTTCTTTTTATGTAATGTTTTGTATATTTTAAAGGGGTTTGAATCGACACCACTTTCTCTCTGCTTTCTGCTCACCCTCATTGAGATGTAATTGGAGAATTACATGTGTTACAACTTTTATATATATTTTTGATTTATTTTGTAGATTTCTATTGATCAGAAAGGGTATGTGATGCATGTACACGTAATATGTGAATATACTTCTCAGTAGCTTTTAGCCGCTTATAATGTACAGTAATAATATGCCTATGATTATCATGCAAATCATATCTTTGTCAAAGGTCCTTTACTTTAATTACCCTAAGTTAGCCTTAGCATTGTGCAGTTAGCCTACTGGATATAGTATATGTATGGCTGTATTTCGCTTTTAATAGCAAAGAGCAGGGACAGTATAACATTGTTCTGTATTTGTTTGTTGAAGCGTAAAAACCCAGCGGAACATACACTTCATTATGCTAAGTCTCTCTCTCTGTCTCTCTCTCTCTTCCTCTCTCTCTCTCTGGGCCAGGCTGGGGACACACCGCTGCATGTTGCAGCAGCGCTGAATCATAAGAAAACAGTGCGACTTCTGCTGGAGGCTGGAACAGAGAGCAACATCCGCAACAACGTGAGTGGAGTGCCCCAGGCCCCCGAACCCGTCTCTGCTCTACACTCTTAGAAAAAAGGGTTCCAAAAGGGTTCTTCAGCTGTCCCCATAGGAGAACCCTTTTTGGTTCCAGGTAGAACCCTTTTTGGTTCCAGAGAGAACCCTTTTGGGTTCCATGTAGAACCCTCTGGGGAAAGGATTTTACATGGAACCCAAATGGGTTCTACCTGGAACCAAAAAAGGTTATTCAAAGGGTTCTCCTATGAGGACAGCCGAAGAACCATTTTAGGTTTTAGATAGCACCTTTTTTTCTAAGAGTGTACTATACTCTACTATGTTGACTATGCTCTGGAGTAGTCATGCACTTCTAAAGGCCGTCTTAATCATGACTAATGTCACCGCACATTCTGTTTGGTGAATAACCTGCTCTGGAGCCATGGTTGTAGTTTTTCACTCAGTCACAGTAAAGCCATGCAGACTTTGATAAGAAACCACAGTATGTTGTTCAAGAAATGCAATTTTGACATACTGACAACTGAATAAGCGACTTGGAAATATCTATTTACATTTATGCTTAACTTCGTTGCCTGATGACTCAAACTGAATTCTTCCGCTGCTATGTTCGCTACATACTTCAGTCTGAGACTGCCATCGTTGAAATCGTTTGTGGTGATGTCAAAATGGGGAGTGTTGTACAAAACAAAGTTATTAGCGATTGGATCATCTCTAACCAATCAGAGTATCAAAGCCAAGCTCAAAACGCAGCTTTACCCACTTGTGTTCTGGCTCTGGCCCAACCCATCAGTTTCTGGGACCAATCAGAATGGTTAGGATGTGTTTGCTTTCTAGAAATCGTCAGGGAGGTACTCAGATTCAGACTCATTGTGGAGAAGAAACTAACGTCCGTTTGGCCGAAGCAAGAAGTTTGGGTAGCCAGGCAATTAACATAGTGCCATACCCAGTTGAATCATGTATCTCTAACTAGGTGTTGTAGCCCTGGTTGACTGGCCTCTTGTCTCTGTGTTTGAGCAGGCAGGCCAGACTGCACTCGACCAGGCCAGAGACCACAACAACCCAGACATAGCTCTGCTTCTGACCAAAGCACCTCAGGTGAGTACAGGTTCACCCAGTCTGTCCAGCAGGGGCACCCAGGCAATGTTATTATTTTAGTTTCACACACCGACCTTATCTACAGTGAGGGAAAAAAGTATTTGATCCCCTGCTGATTTTGTACGTTTGCCCCCTGACAAAGAAATGATAAGTCTATAATTTTAATGGTAGGTTTATTTGAACAGTGAGAGACAGAATAACAACAAAAAAATCCAGAAAAACGCATGTCAAAAATGTTATAAATTGATTTGCATTTTAATGAGGTAAATAAGTATTTGACCCCCTTTCAATCAGAAAGATTTCTGGCTCCCAGGTGTCTTTTATACAGGTAACGAGCTGTGATTAAGAGCACACTCTTAAAGGGAGTGCTCCTCATCTCAGTTTGTTACCTGTATAAAATAACACCTGGGAGCCAGAGCAATCAATCAATCAGATTCCAAACTCTCCACCATGGCCAAGACCAAAGAGCTCTCCAAGGATGTCAGGGACAAGATTTTAGACCTACACAAGGCTGGAATGGGCTACAAGACCATCGCCAAGCAGCTTGGTGAGAAGGTGACAACAGATGGTGCGATTATTCGCAAATGGAAGAAACACAAAATAACTGTCAATCTCCCTCGGCCTGGGGCTCCATGCAAGATCTCACCTTGTGGAGTTGCAATGATCATGAGAACGGTGAGGAATCAGCCCAGAACTACACGGGAGGATCTTGTCAATGATCTCAAGGCAGCTGGGACCATAGTCACCGAGAAAACAATTGGTAACACACTACGCCGTGAAGGACTGAAATCCTGCAGCGCCCGCAAGGTCCCCCTGCTCAAGAAAGCACATATACATGCCCGTCTGTAGTTTGCCAATGAACATCTGAATGATTCAGAGGAGAACTGGGTGAAAGTGTTGTGGTCAGATGAGACCAAAATCGAGCTCTTTGGCATCAACTCAACTCGCCGTGTTTGGAGGAGGAGGAATGCTGCCTATGACCCCAAGAACACCATCCCCACCGTCAAACATGGAGGTGGAAACATTATGCTTTAGGGGTGTTTTTCTGCTAAGGGGACAGGACAACTTCACCGCATCAAAGGGACGATGGACGGGGCCATGTACCGTCAAATCTTGGGTGAGAACCTCCTTCCCTCAGCCAGGGCATTGAAAATGGGTCGTGGATGGGTATTACAGCATGACAATGACCCAAAACACACGGCCAAGGCAACAAAGGAGTGGCTCAAGAAGAAGCACATTAAGGTCCTGGAGTGGCCTAGCCAGTCTCCAGACCTTAATCCCATAGAAAATCTGTGGAGGGAGCTGAAGGTTCGAGTTGCCAAACGTCAGCCTCTAAACCTTAATGACTTGGAGAAGATCTGCAAAGAGGAGTGGAACAAAATCCCTCCTGAGATGTGTGCAAACCTGGTGGCCAACTACAAGAAACATCTGACCTCTGTGATTGCCAACAAGGGTTTTGCCACCAAGTACTAAGTCATGTTTTGCAGAGGGGTCAAATACTTATTTCCCTCATTAAAATGCAAATCAATTTCTAACATTTTTTACATGCGTTTTTCTGGATTTTTTTGTTGTTATTCTGTCTCTCACTGTTCAAATAAACCTACCATTTAAATTATAGACTGATCATGTCTTTGTCAGTGGGTAAACCTACAAAATCAGCAGGGGATCAAATACTTTTTTCCCTCACTGTATATATTTATATAGAAAACACTCATGCTGTGTTTGGACTTGAATATAGATACTTCAGATGTTTGACTGGCGTTTTTATCTGTCTGAAATTCTCATATCGCCATAACACCTACCTGACATCATTCCTGTGGGTTGGCAGTAAAGGTGTTTCTGCGTTAAGTGCAAGTATGGGCAGAGTCCGTAGGAGACTGCTATAGAGCTAGATAGCCATTGGCACTTGGAAGTGATAGGGAAATTGAGAGGCTAAACTAGTCAGCATTATTTGTGCTATTTTAGCTGTAGCTACAGTGCCTTCAGAAAGTATTCAGACCCCTTGACTTTTTCCACATTTTGTTACATTACAGCCTTATTCTAAAATTGATCAAATTGTTTCCCTCATCAATCTACACACAATACCCCATAATGACAAAGCAAAAACAGTTTTTTTGAATGTTTGCTAATTTATAACAAATAAAAAAACGGAAATATTACATTTACATAAGTATTCAGTACTTTGTTGAAGCACCTTTGGCAGCGATTACAGCATCGAGTCTTTGGGTATGACGCTACAAGCTTGGCACACCTGTATTTGGGGAGTTTCTCCCATTCTTCTCTGTAGATCCTCTCAAGCTCTGTCAGGTTGGATGGGGAGCGTTGCTGCACAGCTATTTTCAGGTCTCTCCAGAGATGTTCGATCGGGTTCAAGTCTGGGCTCTGGTCGTTGTCCTGTTGGAAGGTGAACCTTCGCCCCAGTCTGAGGTCCTGAGCGCTCTGGAGCAGGTTTTCATCAAGGATCTCTCTGTACTTTGCTCCGTTCAGCTTTGCCTCGATCCTGACTAGTCTCCCAGTCCCTGCCGCTGAAAAACATCCCCACAGCATGATGCTGCCACCACCATGCTTCACTGTAGGGATGGTGCCAGGTTTCCTCCAGACATGAAGCTTGGCATTCAGGCCAAAGAGTTCAATCTTGGTTTCATCAGACCAGAGAATCTTATTTCTCATGGTCTGAGAGTCTTTAGGTGCCTTTTGGCAAACTCCAAGCGGGCTGTCATGTGCCTTTTACTGAGGAGTGGCTTCCGTCTGGCCACACTACCATAAAGGCCTGATTGGTGGAGTGCTGCAGAGATGGTTGTCCTTCTGGAAGGTTCTCCCATCTCCACAGAGGAACTCTAGAGCTCTGTCAGAGTGACCATTGGGTTCTTGGTCACCATCAAGTTGTAGAAACATCTCAAGGATGATCAATGGAAACAGGATGCACCTGAGCTCAATTTCGAGTCTCATAGCAAAGGGTCTGAATACTTATGTAAATAAGCTATTTTATTTTTAATACATTTGCAAAAATGTCTAAAAACCGTTTTTTACTTCATCATTATTGGGTATTGTGTGTAGATTGCTGAGGATTTTTATTTATTTAATCCATTTTAGAATTAGGCTGTAACGTAACAAAATGTGGAAAAAGTCAAGGGGTCTGAATACCTTCCAAAGGCACTGTATATCCCTACTTACTCAAGAAACCTTCACTAATTGAATCATTTGCATTTGCTCCATGTAAAGAGCTGGGCAGACTAAAGTACGGTAAATAAAAACAGGACCTTCAACCAATCAATGGCCGTCAGTAAATGTAAAGCCTCAGTGAATAAAAAACTGGCCCTTAGTTCTCACACTGCTCTCCCTCTGTGTATTCAGGTCCAGAGCTTCACCCGAGGCAGGAGTATGAGGAAGAGGAGGGACAAGCTGATGGCTGAACGCCGAGCACAGTCTGTGCCCAGGGATGAGATGCTCCCCAGGAAGGTATAGTTACAGTACAGCTGACCATCTCACTCTAACTGTGTGATATGATATGATAACACAGATGTGGAGATGTTCCAGTTTTGTTGTTCCTCACAGGACAGTGCATCTGCTGCTGACGACACCCACAGCAGCGACCTCGTCGCCCGCAAACACGAGGTGATCGAGGCGAGCACAAACAGGAAGCTCAAAGAGAAGGTCATCTATTACCTTAACCTTCTAACAACAGCACATGTTTACCCAGGTGAAATATGTTATTCATATTAAACAGATGGAATATGTGATATATTGTTGCAGCCCTCCGTCTCTGACCCCCTCCGCCGTAGAGAGAACAAACACAGAGAGAAGAGGCGGGGCAAACTGCGTGGCTCCTCCCCCCAGCCCCCGCCTCACAACCACAAGGCCTATCAGCTGTACACTCTGTACCGTGGCAAGGATGGCAAGATCATGCAGGTGGATAGAAAGAACACACAGACAACAGAGCTTTTGTTTTACATTTTTCATGTGATGCTATGATTTCATTATGCTTACACTTCACTTTTTAAAGTTTAATGTTGCTTTTAAAGCACTGTGAATGGAGCTACTAGCAGATATTTTCTGTCATGTTGAAACCTTGTAACAGGCTTTGCTGCTATATTCTTCTATGTAGAAAACACATATTACAGTCGGAGCAAGGCCCTGCGACAGACCAGCATCCTGTCCAGGAGGTGTACTTGTACATCTAGCTGCCTCATGCTACAGGCCATTCTGGCTCGGACAAGACTTATGTACTTACTAATTAATTATATTTCAGTTTGAGTTTGTGTCTGCTATCAAGTGGATCAGTGCCCATGGTTGGTTTCTGTGTCCCAGGCGCCTATCAATGGCTGCCGCTGTGAGCCTCTGATCATCAAGCTGGAGAACCAGCTGGAGGCCACCAAGGAGGAGATGAAGACGGAGATCCACACGGTGCAGGACCTGATGAACAACAAGATGGGACAGTTGGACCGCAAGAACAAACATCAGGTACATAATAGACCAGGGTCCTGTTCATTAAGGCGTTTTCAACTTTTTGCAACGTAAACCGAAAATTATAGTTTCTTATTGGACCAGTCCAGGACAGGTAGACCAGTCCCAGTTTCAGTCCATTCTCTTCCGTTTGGTGCCTAATGAATACTACCTACATCCCACAAGCCTCTGAAGTCACAGCAGTGGATGTGATGAAATGAAGTGTAATGTTAGTCAAGTCAAAAACAGCTGTGAGCTTTTCTTTCACAACCGGTGTCTTGCATTTATTATGACAGCTTTATCAGGCTCAGGCATTTAACTCTATGTGGTTTGTGATTGTGTGGTTCTAGATCCGTGCTCTAGATAAGATGACAGTAGAGAGGGTGTCAGCAGAGAGGACAGAGTGCCAACACAGGATCGACCAGAGGGCCATGCAGGATAGACAGGAGGGGGAGAAGAGACAGGTAATACTAACAGCAGTGTCAACACACTCAACACAGCAAGAGAGGCGGGTCTCAGATGGACAAAACACTAGTTCCCATACCTTCATGTGCCATCATTAAACTTTTTAATTCAAGGTTGTCGTGAATTTTTTTTTTAATATTACAACAATGCTTTAAAGTAACTGCCCAGTGATTTCAGATTTCTATTAAATATGACCTATAATTACTTACAATGTGAGTGAAATAGTTTTCCTTCCCAAATTGTTTTAATTAGGTATGTTAAAAAGCATATTTTCTATGTTGGAATGGTGTGTGCGTACCCCAACAACAGAATGGTGTGGGCGTATACCGGTCATTAAAAATATTCACCCAAGTAGACCGCTGATTGGCCAGCTCATCCTCCTCTAGACCTAGCACTACATAGCTGATTCAAATAACGCAACTCATCATCAAGCGTTGATTATTTGAATCCGCTGTGTAGTGCTATAGCAAAAAACTAAACGTGCACCCAGGTGGGGCCCCAGGACTGAGTTTGGGAAACCCTGCTCTAGAACGCTGATTGGCCAGCTCATCCTCCTCAGGGAGATGACATCATGTTCTATGAGGAAATAGCAAGCATTTTTGAAACTGACTGTTTGAGATACAGTGCCTTGCAAAAGTATTCATCCCCCTTGGCGTTTTTCCTATTTTGTTGCATTACAACCTGTAATTTAAATTGATTTTTATTTGGATTTCATGTAATGGACGTACACAAAATAGTTGAAATTGGTGAAGTGAAATTTTAAAAGAATTCTAAAAAATAAATGCTATGAAGCCCCTAAATAAGATCTGGTGCAACCAATTACCTTCAGAAGTCACATAATTAGTTAAATAAAGTCCAGCTGTGTGCAATCTAAGTGTCACATGATCTGTCACATGATCTCAGTATATATACACCAGTTCTGAAAGGCCCCAGAGTCTGCAACAGCACTAAGCAAGGGGCACCACCAAGCAAGTGGCACCATGAAGACCAAGGAGCTCTCCAAACAGGTCAGGGACAAAGTTGTGGAGAAGTACAGATCAGGGTTGGGTTATAAAAAATATTGGAAACTTTGAACATCCCACAGAGCACCATTAAATCCATTATTAAAATATGGAAAGAATATGGGACCACAACAAACCTGCCAAGAGAGGGCCGCCCACCAAAACTCACAGACCAGGCAAGGAGGGCATTAATCAGAGAGGCAACAAAGAGATCAAAGATAACCATGAAGGAGCTGCAAAGTTCCACAGCGGAGATTGGAGTATCTGTTCATAGGACCACTTTAAGCTGTACACTCCACAGAGCTGGGCTTTACGGAAGAGTGGCCAGAAAAAAAGCCATTGCTTAAAGAACAAAATAAGCAAACACATTTGGTGTTCGCCAAAAGGCATGTGGGAGACTCCCCAAACATATGGAAGAAGGTACTCTGGTCAGACGAGACTAAAATTGAGCTTTTTGGCCATCAAGGAAAACGCTATGTCTGGCGCAAAACCAACACCTCTCATCACCCCGAGAACACCATCCCCACAGTGAAGCATGGTGGTGGCAGCATCATGCTGTGGGGATGTTTTTCATCAGCAGGCAGGGACTGGGAAACTTGTCAGAATTGAAGGAATGATGGATGGCACTAAATACAGGGACATTCTTGAGGGAAACCTGTTTCAGTCTTCCAGAGATTTGAGACTGGGACGGAGGGTCACCTTCCAGCAGGACAATGACCCTAAGCATACTGCTAAAGCAACACTTGATTGGTTTAAGGGGAAACATTAAATGTCTTGAAATGGCCTAGTCAAAGCATAGACCTCAATCCAATTGAGAATCTGTGGTATGGCTTAAAGATTGCTGTACACCAGCGGAACCCATCCAACTTGAAGGAGCTGGAGCAGTTTTGCCTTGAAGAATGGGAAAAAATCCCAGTGGCTAGATGTGCCAAGCTTATAGCGACATACCCCAGCTTGCAGCTGTAATTGAAACGTGCAGCTGTAATTGCTGCAAAAGGTGGCTCTACAAGGTATTCACTCTTATGTTTTTTGGTCTTATTTCTTGTTTGTTTCACAATAAAAAATATTTTTCATCTTCAAAGTGGTAGGCATGTTGTGTAAATGAAATGATACAAGCCCCCAAAAAATCCATTTTTGGGGGGGGGGGTGAATAATTTCGCAAGCTACTGTACAAGTTTGAGGTGTGTTTTTTAAAGTTATATTTCTCCAATTAATGCTTTGGCCACATACGAGTATAGGACGAGTCAACAACATTATTTAGATATGAGTTAACAGAATATGAACTTTTAAAAGTGAAAAGAAAAAAAAAAGACAGTTATTTTAACACTTCTAGATAATAGATAGTATACTGAACAAAAATATAAATGCAACATGCAACAATTTCAACGATTTTACTGAGATACAGTTCATATAAGGAAATCAGTCAATTGAAATAAATTCATTAGGCCCTAATCTATAGATTTCACGACTGGGCAGGGGTGCAGCCATGGGTAGGCCCACCCACATGGGGAGCCAGGCCCACAAAAGGGCTTTATTACAGTCAGAAATACTCCTCAGTTTCATCAGCTGTCCGGATGGCTGGTCTCAGTCGATCCCGCAGGTGAAGTAGCCGGAAGTGGAGGTCCTGGGCTGGCGTGGTTACACGTGGTTTGCGGTTGTGAGGACGGTTGGATGTACTGCCAAATTCTCTAAAACGACGTTGGAGGCGGTTTATGGTAGACAAATTAACATTAAATTATCTGGCAACAACTCTGGTGGACATTCCTGCAGTCAGCATGCCAATTGCACGCTCTCTCAAAACTTGAGACATCTGTGGCATTGCGTTGTGTGACAAAACTGCACATTTTAGAGTGGCCTTTTATTGTCCCCAGCACAAGGTGCACCTGTGTAATGATCATGCTGTTTAATCAGCTTCTTGATATACCACACTTGTCAGGTGGATGGATTATCTTGGCAAAGGATAAATGCTCACTAACAGGGAAGTAAAAAATGTGTGCACAAAATTTGAGGGAAATAAGCTTTTGTGCGTATGGACAATTTCTGGGATCTTTTATTTCAGCTCATGAAACATAGGACCAACACTTTACATGTTGCGTTTATATTTTTGTTCAGTATACAGTTGAAGTCGGATGTTTACATACACCTTAGCCAAATGCATTTAAACTCAGTTCTTCACAATTCCTGACATTTAATCCAAGTAAAAATGCCCTGTCTTAGGTCAGTTAGGATCACCACTTTATTTTAAGAATGTGAAATGTCAGAATAATAGCAGAGAGAATTATTTATTTCAGCTTTTATTTCTTTCATAACATTCCCAGTGGGTCAGAAGTTTACATACACTCAATTAGTATTTGGTAGCGTTGCCTTTACATTGTTTAACTTGGGTCAAACGTTTCTGGTAGTCTTTCACAAGCTTCCCACAATAAGTTGGGTGAATTTTGGCCCATTTCTCCTGACAGAGCTGGTGTAACCGAGTCAGGTTTGTAGGCCTCCTTGCTCGCACACGCTTTTTCAGTTCTGCCCACAAATTTTCTATAGGATTGAGGTCAGGGCCTTGTGATGGCCACTCCAATACCTTGACTTTGTTGTCCTTAAGCCATTTTGCCACAACTTTGGAAGTATGCTTGGGGTCATTGTCCGTTTGGAAGACCCATTTGCGACCAAGCTTTAACTTCCTGACTGATGTCTTGAGATGTTGCTTCAATATATCCACATCATTTTCCTTCCCCATGATTCCATCTATTTTGTGAAGCGCACCAGTCCCTCCTGCAGCAAAGCACCCCCACAGCATGATGCTGCCACTCCCGTGCTTCACGGTTGGGATGGCCGTTCTTCGGCATGCAAGCAGTCCCCTTTTTCCTCCAAACATAACGATGGTCATTATGGGCAAACAGTTCTATTTGTTTCATCCGACCAGAGGACATTTCTCCAAAAAGTACGATCTTTGTCCCCATGTGCAGTAGTCTGGCTTTTTTATGGCGGTTTTGGAGCAGTGGCTTCTTCCTTGCTGAACGGCCATTCAGGTTATGTCGATATAGGACTCGTTTTACTGTGGATATATATACTTTTGTACCAATTTCCTCCAGAATCTTCACAAGGTCCTTTGCTGTTGTTCTGGGATTGATTTGCACTTTTCGCACCAAAGTACGTTCATCTCTAGGAGACAGAACGCGTCTCCTTCCTGAGCGGTATGACGGCTGCGTGGTCCCATGGTGTTTATACTTGCATACTATTGTTTGTACAGATGAACGTGGTACCTTCAGGCGTTTGTTAATTACTCCCAAGGATGAACCAGACTTGTAGGGTCTATATATTTTTTTCTGAGGTCTTGCCTGATTTCTTTAGATTTTCCCATGATGTCAAGCAAAGATGCACTGGTTTAAAGGTAGGCCTTGAAATACATCCACAGGTACACCTCCAATTGACTCAAATGATGTCAATTAGCCTATCAGAAGCTTCTAATGCCATGACATCATTTTCTGGAATTTTCTAAGCTGTTTAAAGGCACAGTCAACTTAGTGTATGTAAACTTCTGACCCACTGGAATTGTGATACAGTGAATTATAAGTGAAATAATCTGTCTGTAAACAATTGTTGGAAAAATGCATTGTGTCATGCACAAAGTAGATGTCCTAACCGACTTGCCAAAACTATAGTTTGTTACCAAGAAATGTGTGGAGTGGTTGAAAAACAGGTTTTAATGACTCCAACCTAAGTGTATGTAAACTTCCGACTTCAACTGTATATACCCTGCTGTTTCTCTGTCACGAAACCTCTTCTTGTCTTGGCCTGCCCTTCAAGCAGGCATCAGTGGTGAACGAGCTGAAGAACTGGTGCATGGCCAAGCTCCAGAACATTGAGGTGCGTTTCGCTGGAGACCCCCGCAACGCCAAGCTGCGTCGGTCCTCATCCATGGCTGAGGGCCTGTGTGAGGTGGACCCTGGGGGCAGCGTCCAGTGTCTGGCCCCCCACACCACTGACCTCACCGAGGGAGACCCCAACACGGCCGCCACAGAGGACCCCTCAGCCAATCATAACTTTGTGGTTCAGGTGGACAACTCTCCAGGTACGGTTCAAACAGAACTCAGTGAAATAGCCAGTGCTCTGAATTACTACTCTTATGCACATGCACGAACGCACACACACAATGAGAGGGAACTCATTTCACACAGATACAGGCTTATGTAAGCGTTACATAATCTAACTATATTATTCTTAGGTCAAACCCTTTTTTAGAAGTAAATAACAGAGAATGTGGCCCAAATACAACATTTTTACAGAAATGCTAAAATTATAAATTTGCCTTTGGCAGGTTAATTAATGTATCATCCTAATCTATCACACTGCATTTGAAGATGGCAATCTCACTGGAACTAATTTGAGTAATCATAAATTATTTATTGTGTGCCGTGCTCTAAGGTTGATTTAATTCTAATTCACTTAATAATTGCCTCTTGGAAATCTTCCAGATGGTGATAAACATCACAAGCGAGAAAACATCTCCTCCCCAACTCCCGCTTTATCCCTTTCCCCATCTCCCCAAGTGGTGCGGCCCAAGGAACGCTCGCTGTGTTCTACTGACCCCTGCAGGCCGTTCCAGGGACTGCAGGACGTGGCACTGCTGGAGTTGGGATCAAGCAGCAGAGGCAACAACCACCGGGCCAGCAGCCTGTCCCCAGCCACCGAGCGCCGCTGCAGCAACAGGCAAGACAAGGACTGCGACAGGGAGAGGGATAGAGACAGGGAGAGGTGCAGGGACAAGGGCAAGCACCACAAGAGGCAATCCCAGGGCAGGACAAAGGCCAAGGGGGACAAGGGGGCTTCGGTGGGGCAGGCCGAGGGGACTCTGGGGGTGTTTGGGGAGAGAGCCGTGGAGAAAGGCGGGGGTGAGGGCTTTGCCCAGGAGAGGGAGAACATGCACGCCCTGGAGGTGACACAGTACTTCTTTGAGGCGGTGTCGACCCAGATGGAGCACTGGTATGAAAGGAAGATCCAGGAAGCCAGGTGGCAGGCAGACCAGAGGGCCCAGGCAGACAGGGCTGCCCTGCTGGAGAAGATAACCTACCTGGAGGACGAGCTACTCATGCTCAGGACTAACAGGCATGACGACAGCTAACACAGGCACACCACTGCAGAATTTAGAGTTAAACCTTCAGAACAGCAAAAATCATCATCTGAGCTCATTACAGATGGCGACCTGGATCCAGTGGACCCACTGACCAAAATAATTGTCATTGACCGAATTTAGCTGATTTCATACTTATGGCAAATAATGTCATTCAACAGTATAAAATCATCTGTATAGTAACTTATTTTAAAGACATGTTATGGCATGCCAGACAATTCAGTAGAATGTGGTCTTGTTATTAATGTGTTTTGTTCTATACATCTGGGCAGCTCCTGTGTTTGTGCTTTGTAAAACCCCTAGATTTACTGATAGTTATTTACAGTGGATTTTGTCATGGTGCCATCATGGAACTGATGCACGTACACACCTGGGCACAATGTTACGCTGTCCTAAAGTCAACATGCCAATACTTTTTATCCTGTGATGAGAAAGCCTGTTATGTGAAAGATTCTGTCAGTTTGCTTATGGAAAATGTGGGTCATTTTTTGTGACATTGTGAATTTGTATTCAATGAGAGAGTAGAGAAAGACAAGCGCAGACAGCTTTAGAAATAGTTGAGTTAGCCAGGATGCTTAAAATATCAGTAGAATAAGCTACTGCAAGCTTTCATACAGGTATGTGACTTACAAGGGTAACATAACTCACGAGAATACATCCAAACTGACAATGTCTTAACTCATACACTTTTGTGCCAACCCACTATTTCTTTGATGGTAAAAACCATAACATCCTAATACTTGTCCTTAGCACTAAAATGAGTTACTGTTAAGACCCTGTTTGCATGATGAAAAGTATTTTTGTCTTCTGAAATAGACCTGTGCATACAGTAAATTAGTTAGTGCTCATGTGTGACATTTGTTCTGTTCATGTGTGAGGGTGTGGTACATTGATGTCTTTGTTGATATGAACATACATTCAGTGTAATAAAGTAGATGTAAAATGTATTTAGTAAAAAAAACTATAGACAAACTACAGAATATATTTTTGTTTTATGTTCAACATGTACATAACATATTTCATGAGGGTCATCTGGACACAAACAACTTTACAATAGCCCAACATGAGCCCCATGGTATTATTATGTCAGACATGATTGCAAATGGCATATCACACATGGCTCTCGCAGCTTTCCTCAAAATTGAATCACAGCTGGCGTTCTGAAAGCGTCACCACTGCTCGACATGGACATGTTGATGGCAACCATCTGATATGGGACTCCCCATGACAGATCTCATATGGTCCAAATCCCATTATGTACCAGACACTAGCAGTTTTAGGAATACATCGATAAGAACGGCAACGAGCTGGTCTGGCCAAATGCCAAGGTGCTTCTACAGTAAGTGGTGTACTGATTCCTATGGCTTTCATGCTGCCAATCCACAGTCCATTTGAGGCAGCATAACAAAGCCTCTGGGATTCACTTCCAGCATTTAAATGGGTTGATTACCTCAGTCCCACACAGGTGAAATTATTTCTTAACGTTAGCCAATGCAAGGGATGACTGTAGCTCATCATGATGCATGTTTGCCTGTGTGATCATCATTCGGATGGCGTCCTAGATATACAGAGAGACAACAATGGTTAGAACAGGGATAGAACACAGAATGACAATTTCAGACACCTTGGCTTGACCATATCTCACCTGATTTGTGGTATTTTTATTCCTCTTGAACTCATCTCTCGCCCAATCCCTCAGGTATTTTCGGTCTCCCTCGTCTGGCACTTGTCTGATGGTCCTCATCATGTTTCTGTAGAGACTCAACACTTTCTGCCTCTGTAGAAACTGTAGAAATAGACCAGAGGAAGCAAACAACCAAGCAAGCTAGCTAGCAAGTTACCTGGCTATCTGGCTAATTTATCAACAATCATATTAGCAGAGCAATATTCGGAGGGAGAAAACGTTAACAAAAAAAGACATGGTATTAGCTACGTAGTGAGGATATTACACTTAAAATCAGATGAGCAAGCTATCTAACTAGAGCTGCTGCTGAAATGCTAGCGTTAGCTAGCTAGCTGATCATGCTGCCATGGCTATTTCCCAAATGTGAATGTCAGAGAACACTATCTAGTTGGCAGTAGTACACTAACCGTATGGTTTACAGTTCATGATACAGATTAATATTTATTTATTACCTGTTTTAATGTAAGCGCTGCCGCGGGTAACCTTGAGCTAGCCATGATGTGAATTGTAGCAAACATGGTTGTAGAGGCAGCTCTACAGCTGATCTGTTTTGGCAGTCAACATAGATAAAAATATAAATGTCGCCCTCTTGTGGGGTGGAGTACTTATTGAAAATCAATTTCTTCAGGGGCCATAAAATAATACTGTATGTAAATTGGCTACTACCAAATACAGTACATATTAGATAAAACAATGTGCTCAAAACACAGATTAAAAAGTTTATTATCATCATACAATGTATCATGTCATATGATGTGATTTATGGATGGAATGAAGAAACAACTTCCATGAATATCATATGTTTGCTTAAAGTTACAACTGTATTCCAAAGGGACACAGCAATGACATTTCCTAATGGTGTCTTCATGGCAGTGAATGAACCTCATCTTCAGTAAGATGTAGTGGATATGTCTCTTTGACCAGAGAAATGGCATCGATTGGAGCGTTTATCAAAATTGTTATTAGCAGTCCTTGTGCTTAAATTTTCCCAAAACCTTGACCTTTATTGAGAGAGAGAGAGAGAGGGTTAAGCTTTGTATTAATAACACATTTGGGCAAAATGATAATTTCCATGTAAACAATGGATTCCTTTTATAAGCACATGGGTGTTAAGTGAGATGCATTTCTTCCAAGGCACAATTTTGGGATTACTTTTGAAATGGATCAAGACCATAGCAGCATGCTTTTTCTTTTGCCATGATATAACGAAGGGGGTGCTTTTTAACAGTTGTGCAAAAACAACTTCATCACAACACTACTGTCACCTCCATACATTAACAGATGATGTGTTCACACGGAAGCAGAATGACTTGATGATGAGCATGTAACACAGAAAACATCCATACAACACAAAGGGGGTTATAGTACACAGGGGAAAGAGGTACAGTATCTCTTCACTGAGGTTGTTTACACGGAAGGGAATCACATTTTGTATCCTTTTCTATCATTTGTTATACACGTGCAAGTTAAAGCAATGCTTATTACATTGCGAAATAACTTCCAGAATCCCCCTGGCCTGAAGACAAGGACTAAACAGCGGAAGTCGCTATCAAACTCTATATCAAACTCTACAGTCTACAAAAATTACAGTAAAAAATAAGAACAAAAAGGCACATATACAGCGGCAATTCCGTCTTTCTTTGCGAGTCCCGTTTGTTTTTGAGTCCGTGTGTTGTCGAGAGGCTAGCAGCAGAGAGGCGTTGTGGGGTTGGTTGCTGCCTTCTAAGATGGCTTCTACTGGTCGGTTGCCGTAACGAGTTCGAACCACTGCCTCAGTGCGTCACTCAGGGTTTCTGGCAAGGCGTTGACGTCCCGCAGGATCACGTAGAAAGGGAAGGGGAACTCCTCCATGTAGGAGCGGATCTCAGGCATCTCTCCCGGACCTTTGAAGATGGGCACCTTGATGTCCAGGATGGAATCCTGTAGAAAAATGACATAGGAAATGCCAATAGGAATATTGTAAAAAATTTGAGGGAATAGTTCTATATGAATATCATCTATCTTATAGTGATTTGATTATTCACATTAACAAATGTAGCATGTAAATTAGATTTTGCATTTACTATCCACAGTCCTTGATACATAACATGGATTCCATCTAAGTCCCTTACCCTGGAGTTGGGGTTGTCAAGCACCACGAAGATGACAAAGACATTGGCGTTGCGAGCCGCCTGCACAGCCGCCGTCACCCTCTCCTTCCCCTCCAGGAAGAGCCCTCTGCCGTCCGACACAATGAGCAGCAGCTGGGCTGTCTCTGTGGGGGGGAGAGAGAGCGAAAGAGGGAGGGAGGGAGACGGAGAGAGGAGGGAGAGGGAGCAAGAGCGGAGGAGGCGGTCAGTTTACACTTGCACCACAATGGCCCTGGGTGTCTGCTTACAGGTTCAAGTCCTCTGGGCTGCAGAGGGAGAGCAGTGAAAGCTCAGATACCAGCTCTGCACTGTGATCTTCACCACAGCTCAATAGAGGACATGTTAGCTTCACCAGGGGCACTGTAGTAGGAACAATACCCTGCCTTTGAATAACAATCATTGTGCTCTGCTCCTCCCCTACTGTTTCACACAGGGCTTGTTTGTTGGACATCAAATACAACCAGGGCATGGACCCCATAGGCTCAGAGAACAATGCAATCAGTGGGCATTGATTAATATGTCAACTCATTACTGTAAGGAATAGTGAGATCTAAACCCACTTGAATACATTAGCAAATGAAGAAGGGACTAGGGGAGGCCATTCTCGTTTATAGTAATGATACTAAACATTCTTATTGTATTGATCAAGTCAAAGGAGATGCTGCACCACCCCAGTACATTACCTGTGTTCATGGATCCAAGGCTGTGCTGCTTGGCTGCTACAAACATGTTGGCTGAGGTCTCCAGGAACTAAAGGATAGGAGCACAATGTGGCGGTCAGTCTCAAACAAGAGTACCTCACTAAATATATTTGATTTAATATCACAGACCGTAAACAAATGGGCCTGGAAGGCCTTCAATTCATGAAAACAGTAAGATATCAAGCAGTAAAAAAAGAGGGACCCCACCTGGGCTATCTGGGTCTTTTTCTGCTGGAACTGACAGAGCCTCAGTATCCTAGCGCCTGACTGGTCGTTAAATTGTTGTTGGAACGGATGGAGCAGCTGCACCGTCTCACCAAAGCTGAGGTGACAACCAAAACATTTCACAAATGTAACATCACTGTCTGGGGAAGAGCAACACCTGGACATCAATATTAATTACTCTACAGAGGCCCCTCATCTCACCTGCACACAGACACCTGCCCGACCTCCAGGAGAGTGAGAGCGTTGACAATAACAGACAGGGATTCAAAAGCCAGCTGTGACACACGGGAGACAGAGGTGAGACATTAATGAGACATTGTGCGTTTCCCAAATGGCACTCTATTCCCTATATAGTGCACTACTTTTGAACAGAGACCCATGAGCCCTGGTCAAAAGTAGTGTACTATGAAGGAACATACAGTTGAAGTCAGAAGTTTACATACACTTAGGTTGGAGTCATTAAAACTTGTTTTTCAACCACTCCACACATTTCTTGGTAACAAACTATAGTTTTGGCAAGTCGGTTAGGACATCTACTTTGTGCATGACACAAGTAATTCTTCCAAAATTGTTTACAGACAGATTATTTCACTTACAGTGAGGGAAAAAAGTATTTGATCCCCTGCTGATTTTGTACGTTTGCCCACTGACAAAGAAATTATCAGTCTATAATTTTAATGGTAGGTTTATTTGAACAGTGAGAGACAGAATAACAACAACAAAATCCAGAAAAACGCATGTCAAAAATGTTATAAATTGATTTGCATTTTAATGAGGGAAATAAGTATTTGACCCCCTCTCAATCAGAAAGATTTCTGGCTCCCAGGTGTCTTTTATACAGGTAACGAGCTGAGATTAGGAGCACACTCTTAAAGGGAGTGCTCCTAATCTCAGCTTGTTACCTGAATAAAAGACACCTGTCCACAGAAGCAATCAATCAATCAATCAATCAGATTCCAAACTCTCCACCATGGCCAAGACCAAAGAGCTCTCCAAGGATGTCAGGGACAAGATTGTAGACCTACACAAGGCTGGAATGGGCTACAAGACCATCACCAAGCAGCTTGGTGAGAAGGTGACAACAGTTGGTGTGATTATTCGCAAATGGAAAAAACACAAAAAAACTGTCAATCTCCCTCGGCCTGGGGCTCCACGCAAGATCTCACTTTATGGAGTTGCAATGATCATGAGAACGGTGAGGAATCAGCCCAGAACTACACGGGAGGACCTTGTCAATGATCTCAAGGCAGCTGGGACCATAGTCACCAAGAAAACAATTGGTAACACACTACGCCGTGAAGGACTGAAATCCTGCAGCGCCCGCAAGGTCCCCCTGCTCAAGAAAGCACATATACAGGGCCGTCTGAAGTTTGCCAATGAACATCTGAATGATTCAGAGGAGAACTGGGTGAAAGTGTTGTGGTCAGATGAGACCAAAATGGAGCTCTTTGGCATCAACTCAACTCGCCGTGTTTGGAGGAGGAATGCTGCCTATGACCCCAAGAACACCATCCCCACCGTCAAACATGGAGGTGGAAACATTATGCTTTAGGGGTGTTTTTCTGCTAAGGGGACACGACAACTTCACCGCATCAAAGGGATGATGGCCATGTACCGTCAAATCTTGGGTGAGAACCTCCTTCCCTCAGCCAGGGCATTGAAAATGGGTCGGTATTCCAGCATGACAATGACCCAAAACACATGGCCAAGGCAACAAAGGAGTGCCTCAAGAAGAAGCACATTAAGGTCCTGGAGTGGCCTAGCCAGTCTCCAGACCTTAATCCCATAGAAAATCTGTGGAGGGAGCTGAAGGTTCGAGTTGCCAAACGTCAGCCTCAAAACCTTAATGACTTGGAGAAGATCTGCAAAGAGGAGTGGGACAAAATCCCTCCTGAGATGTGTGCAAACCTGGTGGCCAACTACAAGAAACATCTGACCTCTGTGATTGCTAACAAGGGTTTTGCCACCAAGTACTAAGTCATGTTTTACAGAGGGGTCAAATACTTATTCATTAAAATGCAAATCAATTTATAACATTTTTGACATGTGTTTTTCTGGATTTTGTTGTTGTTATTCTGTCTCTCACTGTTCAAATAAACCTACCATTAAAATTATAGACTGATCATTTCTTTGTCAGTGGGCAAACGTACAAAATCAGCAGGGGATCAAATACTTTTTTCCCTCACTGTATAATTCACTGTATCACAATTCCAGTGGGTCAGAAGTTTACATACACTAAGATGACTGTGCCTTTAAACAGCTTGGAAAATTCCAGAAAATGACATCATTTGAGTCAATTGGAGGTGTACCTGTGGATTTATTTCAAGGCCTACCTTCAAACTCAGTGCCTGTTTGCTTGACATCATGGGAAAATCAAAAGAAAATCAGCCAAGACCTCAGAAAAATAATTGTAGACCTCCACAAGTCTGGTTCATCCTTGGGAGCAATTTCCAAACGACTGAATGTACCACATTCATCTGTACGCAAGTATAAACACCATGGGACCACGCAGCCGTCATACCGCTCAGGAAGGAGACGCGTTCGGTCTCCTAGAGATGAACGTACTTTGGTGCGAAAAGTGCAAATCAATCCCAGAACAACAGCAAAGGACCTTGTGAAGATTCTGGAGGAAACTGGTACAAAAGTATATACACTGCTCAAAAAAATTAAGGGAACACTTAAACAACACAATGTAACACACTTCTGTGAAATCAAACTGTCCACTTAGGAAGCAACACTGATTGACAATACATTTCACATGCTGTTGTGCAAATGAAATAGACAACAGGTGGAAAATATAGGCAATTAGCAAGACACCCCCCAATAAAGGACTGGTTTTGCAGGTGGTGACCACAGACCACTTCTCGGTTCCTATGCTTCCTGGCTGATGTTTTGGTCACTTTTGAATGCTGGTGGTGCTTTCACTCTAGTGGTAGCATGAGACGGAGTCTACAACCCACACAAGTGGCTCAGGTAGTGCAGCTCATCCAGGATGGCACATCAATGCAAGCTGTGGCAAGAAGGTTTGCTGTGTCTGTCAGCGTAGTGTCCAGAGCATGGAGGCGCTACCAGGAGACAGGCCAGTACATCAGGAGACGTGGAGGAGGCCGTAGGAGGGCAACAACCCAGCAGCAGGACTGCTACCTCCGCCTTTGTGCAAGGAGGAGCACTGCCAGAGCCCTGCAAAATGACCTCCAGCAGGCCACAAATGTGCATGTGTCTGCTCAAACGGTCAAAAACAGACTCCATGAGGGTGGTATGAGGGCCCGACATCCACAGGTGGGGGTTGTGCTTACAGCCCAACACCGTGCAGGACGTTTGGCATTTGCCAGAGAACACCAAGATTGGCAAATTCGCCACTGACGCCCTGTGCTCTTCACAGATGAAAGCAGGTTCACACTGAGCACATGTGACAGACGTGACAGAGTCTGGAGACGCCGTGGAGAACGTTCTGCTGCCTGCAACATCCTCCAGCATGACCGGTTTGGCGGTGGGTCAGTCATGGTATGGGGTGGCATTTCGTTGGGGGGCCGCACAGCCCTCCATGTGCTCGCCAGAGGTAGCCTGACTGCCATTAGGTACCGAGATGAGATCCTCAGACCCCTTGTGAGACCATATGCTGGTACGGTTGGCCCTGGGTTCCTCCTAATGCAAGACAATGCTAGACCTCATGTGGCTGGAGTGTGTCAGCAGTTCCTGCAAGAGGAAGGCATTGATGCTATGGACCGCCCGTTCCCCAGACCTGAATCCAATTGAGCACATCTGGGACATCATGTCTCGCTCCATCCACCAACGCCACGTTGCACCACAGACTGTCCAGGAGTTGGCGGATGCTTTAGTCTAGGTCTGGGAGGAGATCCCTCAGGAGACCATCCGCCACCTCATCAGGAGCATGCCCAGGCGTTGTAGGGAGGTCATACAGGCACGTGGAGGCCACACACACTACTGAGCCTCATTTTGACTTGTTTTAAGGATATTACATCAAAGTTGGATCAGCCTGTAGTGTGGTTTTCCACTTTAATTTTGAGGGTGACTCCAAATCCAGACCTCCATGCGTTGATACATTTGATTTCCATTGATCATTTTTGTGTGATTTTGTTGTCAGCACATTCAACTATGTAAAGAAAAAAGTATTTAATAAGATTATTTCATTCATTCAGATCTAGGATGTGTTATTTTAGTGTTCCCTTAATTTTTTTGAGCAGTGTATATCCACAGTAAAACGAGTCCTATATCGACATAACCTGAAAGGCCGCTCAGCAAGGAAGAAGCCACTGCTCCAAAACCGCCATTAAAAAGGTTTGCAACTGCACATGGGGACAAAGACCGTACTTTTTGGAGAAATGTCCTCTGGTCTGATGAAACATAAATAGAACTGTTTGGACATAATGACCATCGTTATGTTTGGAGGAAAAAGGGGGTTTCTTGCAAGCCGAAGAACACCATCCCAACCGTGAAGCACGGGGGTGGCAGCATCATGCTGTGGGGGTGCTTTGCTGCAGGAGGGACTGGTGCACTTCACAAAATAGATGGCATCATGAGGAAGGAAAATTATGTGGATATATTGAAGCAACATCTCCAGACATCAGTCAGGAAGTTAAAGCTTGGTTGTAAATGGGTCTTCCAAATGGACAATGACCCCAAGCATACTTCCAAAGTTGTGGCAAAATGGCTTAAGGACAACAAAGTCAAGGTATTAGAGTGGCCATCACAAAGCCCTGACCTCAATCCTATAGAAAATGTGTGGGCAGAAATGAAAAAGTGTGAGGCCTACTAACCTGACTCAGTTACACCAGCTCTGTCAGGAGGAATGGGCCAAAATTCACCCAACTTATTGTGGGAAGCTTGTGGAAGGCTACCCGAAATGTTTGACCCAAGTTAAACAATTTAAAGACAATGCTACCAAATACTAATTGAGTGTATGTAAACTTCTGACCCACTGGGAATGTGATGAAAGATATAAAAGCTGAAATAAAGAATTATCTCTACTATTATTCTGACATTTCACATTCTTAAAATAAAGTGGTGATCCTAACTGACCTAAAACAGGGAATTTTTACTAAGATTAAATGTCAGGAATTGTGAAAAACTGAGTTTAAATGTATTTGGCTAAGGTGTATGTAAACTTCAGACTTCAACTGTACATTGTTCCTGCAGCAAACTGACTAAGGCAGGGGTAGGCAACTAGATTCAGCCCCAGCTGATTTTTGTCGGAGCGGCTAGTCGGGGGGCCAAAAAGAGATTGTATTTGAAAATAATAATTTCATACCTTGATTACATTGAGACACGATCACGTCTCTTTTCTATTCGTTGGAATACTTGATTAACAGATTTCCTAAATTAAACTCATTCTTAGCTTAATTCCTGGTGATTTGAAGCTTTATTTGTTGCGAAAAACTTTGGGGGGCCAAATAAAATCACTTGCGGGTCGGTTTTGGCCCGCGGGCCGCCTGTTGCCGACCCCTGCTCTAAGGTTATTGTGTCCACTCATCCCTCTGAGAAGCCCTACTGTACCTGTTTGGAGTGGTTGTCCACCATGCTGGAGGAGTCGTCCACAGCCAGACAGATCTGGTACTCCCTCTTGCTGGGCTTGGTCCTCCTCAGCCAGATTTTGTCTTTACGGAACTGACTGGCGATGTAAGGGATCACCTTCCGCATGTTCAGACGCTTCCCCGTGCGGAAGTCTCCTCTGTGACACAGCGAGAAAACAGAATAAAAAAATGTGCTAATATGTGTACTGAAATTAAAAAGAAAAAACATGATTTAAAATGAGAAGAGCAAAATATAAATGAATGAATAGAAAAGGTTACAAAAGCCTGTAACTGTTCTGGTCTGTGATCTCCCTGAATGATCTGTTGCGGTAGGTACTCACTTGAGCTTGGCGGCCTGCGTGGGCTCTAGGATGAGGCGGAGCTGCTCACACAGCTGCTGGGACAGGGCCGAGGTCAGAGTCTGGTACTGGTGCCACATAGCTGCCGCTGCACTCTCCTATAGGGCAAGACCACAGCATGAGTTACACAGAGATCTGAACTTCTAGTGGTAGGTGATTAGAACAGAGAATGACAGGGTAAATAGTGTCCGGTATTGTGAATGTTTTGCAGGACATCCAAAGTGCTGGTACCTCCTCCCGGTCTCCAGGGGCCTGTTTCATCCAGGCTTCCAGCTGCAGCTCCATCTCCCTCCTCAGTTCCTCTGGGTCGCGGACTGGGTTCTGGACACACACACACACAAACATTCAGCTAATCTTATACAGAGTGCTCCAGAGCTTTCTGACAGATCTGTTTCTTTAGTAGTAGAGCACTAAGCAGGTCTCAGATCATCTCTCTGGTACCTGCAGTGTGTCTATCAGCAACTCTGGGACGGTGTGGATTGTAGACTCTGTGCTTCTCTCTTGGTGCTCTTCGTCACTGTGACCCTTTGTGTCTTTTGGCCTCTCCTCGTCTTCCTCACACTGCCTCTGAGCCTCCAGCTCTCCGCTGTCTAGACCTACAGTGGAGAACAGACAGTAACATTTACATTTACATTTTAGTCATTTAGCAGACGCTCTTATCCAGAGCGACTTACAGTTAGTGAATACATTTTTATTTTTATTTTATACTGGCCCCCCGTGGGAATCGAACCCACAACCCTGGCGTTGCAAACGCCATGCTCTATCAACTGAGCTACATCCCTGCCGGCCATTCCCTCCCCTACCCTGGACAACGCTGGGCCAATTGTGCGCCGCCCATGAGTCTCCCGGTCGCGGCCGGCTGCGACAGAGCCTGGATTCGAACCAGGATCTCTAGTGGCACAGTTAGCACTGCGATGCAGTGCCTTAGACCACTGCGCCACTCAGGAGTAAGACACATTAACAACAGGCAAACACACACGCACCCACACACACACAAGTGAGATGAGGAGATGGTTAGAGCACCTTTCTGTGATGCTCTGTTCGACTCCAGCTGCTCTGGCTTCAACTCCTGGGCCTCAACAGCCTGCAGGTTCTCTTCCTGCTCCTCCGTATCCATAGCAATGTCCTCATCCTCTTGGACCTCCTCTTGGGGGGCTCCGGCTGGTTTCTGCTGGTCTGCACTGGCAACATCTGTAAAATGTCAAGAGACAAGGTTTTAGAACGGTACCAGGACACTTGGAAGGGAAGCTGACGTCTTCAACGATCGTCTTCTAATGATGATAAAAGTGTGACGGGAACTCTGTGGTATGGATATCTGTGCAGTGAGTGTTCGGTGGTGTATTGCTGCCTCACCGAATGTCTGTGTGTCGTAGGCCGTCTCTCCCTGTTTGATGTGCTCATACAGGTCGGACTCCTGCTGGGCCTCAGTCTGGTTGTTCTCCTGCATCTTCTCCTTACTGCTCTCCACCGTGCGCAGGCGCTTGTTGATGCGCTCGTTGTAGTCACCCGTCGAGCGCTCGTTTTCCGCCTGCCCTGGCTTCCTCTTGAAGCTCTGGAACAGCCAGGTCAGAATAAGAACACATTTGGAAATATATTGCTCATCTTAAAAACCCAAACGGAATTTGATCACGTTTTGAAATGTTTCGGTCTCACTTCACCTCAAGAACATACTGTAGAGCCGGGTGTCAAACTCATTCCATGGAGGGCTTAGTGTCTGCAGGTTTTAGTTTTTTCCTTTCAATTAAGACCTAGACAACCAGGTGAGGGGAGTTCTTTGCTAATTAGTGACCTTAACTCATCAATCAAATACAAGGGAGGAGCGAAAACCCTCAGACACTCGGCCCTCCGTGGAATGAGTGACACGTGCTGTAGAGATTCGTAGACCAGACATACCTGTGTCTTGCCCTGGCTCTGTTTCTGAGAGGACATCCTTGCCATGAGTTTGGACTCGTGTCCCTCTGACTGACTGGCATCAGCCGCTCCACTACCATGCTCCTGGACAACACAACAACACAAGAGGGTCAAGTGTGTGCATTTAATCATTTCCATGGGCTGTAAATGGGTTGGGTGAGGTGGGTGTGTACCTCTTTAGCTTGGTCTCTCTCGGATGCCTCCCCTGCCAGCTCCACGGCTGTTTCACTCTGGACATTCTCCTCTCCCGTCTGACCGTCCGTTTTGTGCTCCTTCCGCTCTGCGGACTCTGGCTGCTTCTCATCCTCACCCGCACCCTCCTCTTCCTCCTCCTGTGGGCAATGACGAAGAAAGGTGTTAAACACCAGACTAGCAAAACAATCTGGATCTCCAAGGTGCAAGAAGAGACAAGTCATACAACCTTTGGTTTCTGGCCTTCGTTTGCAGGGATGGCCATGTCCTCCTCTTTCCCAGCCTCCCGTCCTTCGTCCTTCTCAACCTCCTCCTCCTCCTCCTCCTCCTCGGCCGCCTCTTTGTCCTCCTCGGTTTTCTCTCCTCCACCTCCCTCTTCCTCCTCAGTCTTGGGTTCCTGGCCTTCCTCCTCTCCTTGTTTGTCTGTCTGATCTTCAGCCATCTCCTCCGCCCCTCCCTCCTCCTCCGCTCCCTCCTTTTCGTCCAGCTCCATGGGCTTCTCGTCAATGTCCAACGGGTTTTCCTCTGGAGGAAAGAAACTCAATTGTCAGACACTGGTTCTGTGGTGTCTCCACCTGTTCCTCTCCAGACATGGGTTCAAGTAGTATTTGTCTTCTTTCAAATCATTTAGCTGCGCTTAAAGGGGCAGTAAAGTTAAAAACATGTTTATCCCGTTTTTTTTTTTAAAAAGACATTTCCACACGGAGGTCAAGATAATACTGAAATTGATAATGCCCTTTTTGAGTGAGTGCTATTTGGAGAAAAATAATTCAGGTGGGATGGAATTTTTGGCCCACATCATGTCACAATGTGATCTGATTATAATAGACCAATGACTGTTCATCTGGGTAAGGGGTTGGGCTCTAGATCTATCAGCCAATCAGGGCTATGTATGTGAATAACATTTGTTTCCTAACACCCACACGATCAGACTGAGCATTTCAAGGGCCAAAGGAGGCTCAGGGAAATATATGATAAAAAATATATATTGGAGTTATTTTTATTAAATAAACACAAAGTGATTTATTAGACAAAGCGATGATTTAAAAATACAATTACAAAGACTGCATGGGGGATTTAATTAAGCTTGCCGGGCACAATGGACCCAGTGGAATAGTCTCAAAGTACAAACCCTGCCTACCTGGCAGTCCAACACAAAGTATTTGAAAGAAGACAAATAATATTTGAACCCAAGTATGTTCCTCTCCTCCCCTGTTGACCCTTCAACCTTGCTGAAGCCTCACCCTCTCCCTCCCTCTCCATCCCCCTCGTCCCCGGCCTCCTCCTCCTCCTGGTCCAGGTTGAGTTCATCAGGCAGGTCCATGGCCTCCGGGTCAGGCTTCTTCTCCTGCTTCCCGTGGTACGGGTCCACCTCGTTCTCATCAAACTCCCGCTGGAACACACACACACAGAAAAACTCAAATCAGATACGGTCTGGCAGTCCTGCTAAAACACACCTAACTACAGCCTGAGATTTAGTGGCCGCATGCTCATTACACAGCCAGGGATAGTTTGACCAAACTACTGGTCTTTCTAAGTGAACATTGTTTCCTAGTTAAAGCTTACCTCGTCCCCTTGTTCGTGGATCTTCTCCTTATCCTCTTCGTCCAACTCTTGGTCTTGATCGTCTTTGTTCTTGTCTTTGTTGGGATCTGCTGCATCCAGGTTGTCGTCCTTGGCGACCAGTTCTGATTCCCCCTGAAGACAAACAGAAGAACAATTACTAAACAACGAATACAGTAGCATGCTGACTGGTCGCAAGTGGCAGATACTGCACTCTCGGTCAGATATTTCAACACAGTTTCATCTAATTCTTCCTCCCTGTACCTGGTCCATTCCTTGGCCTGACTCCTCCTCCTTGTCACTGCCCTCCTCCTCTTCATCATCCTCATCATCACCCCACATCCTCTCATCCAGCGTGTCCGTCTGGCCCTCGCCTAGGTCACCCATCTTCTTATCCAGATCTTCATCCTCCTCTTTGTCAGACTCCTCCTCGTCATCCTCACCTGAAAAGGAACAACCAACAGCGCTTTGCGATGTGAGACCAGGGTTGGCTTTATTAGGGCATGCAACAGAAAACAGTTTAAAGCGTTTTGCAACAGACAATGAAAATTTGTGTTTTTATTGGACAGATTCGAGGTAGTCAATGTTTCAGTCTATTTTCTCCCGTTGGTGCCTAATGAACATGACCCAGGAGAAAGTTCAGACTGCCATGAGGCTGTGTGTTAAGAGGTCTGTCTTCCCACCTGGCTCTTGCTGGTCTCCATCATGCATCTGGCCGTCAAAGTCCTCAGACATCTCGATGGCGTTGTCCTCCTCCTCAATGTTCTTCTTGTCAGGCTCCTCCTCCTTCTTTTCCTGGCCTTCCTGGAACGTATCCTCCACCTACGACAGAAACATTACAATTTTAGCTAGCAAAACGTTTTAACTTTTGGGCTGAATCCCGACTCTCACCAAGTCAATGTTTTTTACTTAGTCATGAATTGATGTCAGTGGAAGTTAGGCTTCGCCCCATCATGAGCAACACTACTCAAAAAACATAGATCTTATAATGTCTGCATTAATAATGTCATTCTTGTAGACATCACCTGCTCTTCATTCTCGATCTTGTCGCTAACGTCTTTGGTGCCCTCTCCCTCTCCGATGCCTCCACCCTCGTAGTCGTGGAACTCTGTGGCCCCCTCTCCGTCCCCTCCCTCCATCAGCTCCTGGGGTAGGCAGAAGCCCTGCAGAACAAGACAATAGGACAATCAACAAGAAAAAAAAGGGGCTGTACTGTAGCACCATTGCAGCGTAGGTGACTTACCCAAACAGTAGAAATAAACAGGTACTGAAACTACAGTTTGTGCTAACGTTTTTCACTACTTAAAACGTTTTCACAGAGAACCTTATACTGTGTTTTAAAGCAGATCCCAGTAGAAGGGTTATAGCACACTACCTTCTGGGCTAGCTCCGTGAAGATGCCAGCCAGGACAGAGAGCAGTTTCCCAGTGCTCCTGTGGGCTCCCAGTGACACGGCCAGGTAGTAGCGTACCAGCTCAGAGTACACCCCCAACATGGGCTCCAGACGCACCAGAAGCCTGCACGCCTCACTCAGCTCCTAAACACAGCACAAAGGAGTAAAACAGAAGGTCAATGGTGATATATGAATATCACAAACAAAGCAATCTGAAACAACAGGACATCATCGTTCAGAAAACCTCGGGAGAAAGAATAATGAACTCCTACGGCGACTTTGAAATTATTGGCTACCTTACAGTAGCATTGTGTTTTAGTATTGTATCTCCACTACACTAGAGGGCGGTATAGGCTACAGTATATGCTATGTGACTGCACCCACCTGGAGCTGGTGAGGTGGACAGGAGTCTCTGTGTACTCTGAGTCTCTCCAGTAGCTGTTCCAGTGTGTCGCTGACCTCCCCCAGGGAGAGAGACGCCACCTCTGCTCCTAACTCCTCATCCAGCAGACGGCTCAGGTGACCAGGCTTCAGCAGGTCCTCCTGGGGCTCCTCTTCCTCACCTTCTGGAACAGGCAGATACGACAGGAAATGACATCCCCATTCCCCATCAATGATCAACACACTTTACAGGACGCTAGGATTGATCATGTTAACAAATCTTGGCCCAGTCTCACTCTGGCTTGCTTTTTTAGACAGGTAGTTCTCCTACAGTTCTCCGACAATAACCACACAAGGACACAAAGCAAAGTCCCTCCCAGTTTCAGTCTGTTTTCCTCTATTTGGTGCCTAGCGAATACGACCCAGGTGTGTTATTGGAGGCAGACAGCAGGAGTCTCTCCTCACCTCTCTTGGTGTCTGTCTGCTGTTCTCCCTGCTGCTCCCCCTCCCTCCTCTTCACCAGGGTCTGCACGGAAACCAGCACAGTGTTGATGGCCTTCTCAAGTTCAGCAGAGAACTCTGAGCGAAATGTTTGCTGGTAACCTGAGAGAAAAGAGAAAATTATTTGAACAATGTAATAACAATGTAATACAATTTGAACACCAGTGTAATACCATTGGAATACCATTTGTTCTATGATGGCGTCTGCGCAGGATTACTTCTGATGTAGAAAAGGGCATTATAATCTACATGTGACTGATCGATTGACTAAGCATGATCGGTCTGTTTTCACCTGTGTGTGCGTGGCCCAGGGAGAGTAGCTGGGTCTTCCAGGTGGTGAACTCCATCAGGGTGGCCTCCACCTCTCCTCTGACGTACTGCAAGCCCCGGGTCAGGCCAGGCTGGGTGTCGACCGTGCCCTCGTGGGCGGTGGGGGTGAACAGCTGCTCCACCATGGGCATCTGTGCCGCCACGGAACCCAGCCGGTCATAGCCAGAGCAACACACAGAGAAGTGGCTCCTGAGGAAATGAGGAGGGGGGAGGGTTAGCAAATGAGCATGAATGGGAAGGAATATTCACATAATGGTTCAATTATTAAATGATCTAACAAGATCAAAATCAACCATTGATTTCAATGTAGAGGATATCTAAAAAGACATGAAGACCAAAGCTTAATGCTCTTATCTGTGTTAAGTGTCTGTGTAATGCTATCAGTATTCCTAATGCTATCTTGTGCTCCTAGGCCTTACCAGGAGTGCAGCGCCCCCTGTGTGGACTGCAGTGCCACTGCATCCAGCTCCTCCTTCAGGCTCCGGGTTTGACCCAGCATGTCCGCCACGCGCTGGCTCAGCTGGCTCCAGGCCGGGTCTCCCCTTCTCAGCAGACACCCAGGGGGCTGCCTCTGAGATGCCAGGGGGGACGGGCACCTCAGGGTGGGCTCCCTCTGCCCGCCTGACCCGTCAGTCTGCTGGGGTCCCTCAGGGCAACACTGCAGCAGCCAGGAGAGCTGTTGGAGGAGGGTGGCACACTGCGCCGCCAGGCCCTGGGCCTTGATCACCCAGCCCTGGAGAGAAGCCTGGGGGGGAAGGCCACCAGCGGCCTCACTGTGGGACTGGAGGTTAGCCTGGATGCCCTGAACACTGACTGTTAGCCTCCTGTATGTGTTAGAGAGGATACAAGCCAAAAAGAGTGTTAGAAGGACAACTACAGATAGAGATACTCAAGTTGTCTTCCAAATAGAACCCTATTCCCTATATAGTGCACTACTTTTGACTAGGACGCTATGGGGAATAAGGTGCCATATAGGGTATAGGGTGCCATTTTGGACACAGTCATACTAAGAGATACACAACTCTATCCAAATTGTAAGTTCTGAGGTGTAAGGTTAGAGGTTAAGGTTCACCTGTGGTGGACCCACTGCTCTGTGAGCTTGGCCATGCGTCGCCTCTGTCTGAGCAGCAGCTTGAACAGATGGGAGGAGAAGCCTCGGCAACGATCAATGTTCCCAATCCCCAGCTCCTGGAACATATACACACAGTTAAAAATATCAGACACCAATTTCAAATTGCGGCACACACTTTTTCATATTTGCTAAGTCAGACGCGTTAAGACCATGGATATCCTATCATTTGGCAGTAATTCAATGGTTTAGACCCCATTTAGTGACAACATTTAGAACACACAAAATAACCGATATTTCTCAATCGCAATAAAGTCAATCTGTTGGTCATTCCTTCTCAGTATTTCACCTTAGCAGCGCTCTGAAGAGCAGTCATCATGGCCGTTCTGCGGGCCCACGAGCGGTAGAAATACTTCTGACAGCCGTCCCACGCGGCGTTCATCTCAGTAAACAAACTGAAACAGACACAGTTCCATGCCACAGTCAACCAGCTACTCCATGACGTACTGCACAGCTATTCAATGACGTACTGCACAGCTAGTGGTAGCTTAGTGGTTAAGAGCATTGTGCCAGTAACCGAAAGGTCGCTGGTTCTAATCCCCGAGCCGAATAGGTGAAAAATCTGTAGATGTGCCCTTGAGCAAGGCACTTAACCCTAATTGCTCCTGTAAGTCGCTCTGGATAAGAGCATCTGCTAAATGACTAAAATATAAAAATGTACTGCACAGCTATTCAATGACGTACTGCACAGCTATTCAATGACATACTGCACAGCATCTCAAAGTGTAATATTTCAGGTGTGGTGTCTGTGTAGCAACCAGGTGGGTGCGTCTTGTCTTACGTGTTCTCGGCCTGCTCCTGGGTCCTGACTGCAGAAAGGGCAGTCTGCAGCTCCAGCGGCTGCAGACACAGGGTCTCCTCTGGGTCCGCTGTCCTGTTCCAGTTCAGGCCCTTGCGGTAGGACAGACCTGCATAGAGACAGTTGCACAGTCAGTAAACCACAGTCATATAGGTCTACAGTATCAGTGTTTTACCACACTGACATAAGCTTGGGATATAAAAAGTCTATGTAGAGGGACTCACCGATCTCAGTCAGCATCTTGAAGAGGTCAGACAGGGCTCTCTGCTTCTGCTGGAGGATGTGTTTGACCTCTGACTTCTGCTTCTCCTTCTCAGCTTTCAGGTCGATCGTGAGGCTCTGGAGGTCACGCAGGTTACTGATAATCTCCCCTGAAATAAAAACAAATATCTTAGTCAAAATTATAATCAGAGGGATTTTTCCACAATCTAATCCGAAGTAGCCCCCCGTGTAGCTCAGTTGGTAGAGCATGGCGTTTGCGACGCCAGGGTTGTGGGTTCGATTCCCACGGGGGGCCAGTATGAAAATGTATGCACTCACTAACTGTAAGTCGCTCTGGATAAGAGCGTCTGCTAAATTACTCAAATGTAAATGTCATGTAAATGTAGTAGAACTTTAGAAAACATTTCTCATCCAAAACCTTTGATACCGTTGTTTTTCTCATTGTCATTCATGATGGATTCTCAACGAGGCAGTACAAGCAGACATTTCTCATCTAAAACCTGTGTGGCCAGTTTTTCTCCAGCTCTTACCGGTGAAGACGTCCAGGTCCTCAGAGAGCTCGAGCAGAGGGTTCTTCTTCACCAGGGTCACACACATCTTCCTCATCTTCCTGGTGAGGAGGGGCAGGCGGCCCTGCAGAGACGAGGGCTCCACGCCTGCCAGGCCCTCCTCTGGAGACTCACTCTGGAACACACAGTATGTCAAGCACAGTCATTGCCAACATCATACGAATGTACTGAAGGAGCTCTTTGTGGATAGCGATCCTGGTCCAAACCGTCATTTTATGAGTCAGAACAATAACGTTTTTGTGTCAGAACAAGTGTCGGAACAGAACATTGATGCTGATACCATGGTATACATGCCGTATTGACATTGTATATTATTGACACTTGTCTGTTTGATGCGAGTGATTGTGGCTAGAGGGGGTTTGTACTGCACCTGTAGGTCTCTGGCCTTGCCAGGGAGGGCGTTCTTCAGGGCATGGTGAATCCTGTGCAGTGGGGTGTTCTCTTGGTTGGCATCCACACTGTCCAGGCTAGCACTGCTGCCCTGCTCCATCAATGCCGGGGCACACGGCCCACTCAGTGCTGCCTCAAACTTCTTCACAAACTTAAACAGGGTGCTGGGAAACCATGAGAGTGGTGGATATTTAAGCAATAAGGTCCGAGGGGGTGTGGTATATTGCCAATATACTACGGCTAAGGGCTGTTCTTAGGCACGACGCAATGCGGCCCTTAGCCGTGGTATATTGGCCATACACCACAAACCCCCGAGGTGCCTTATTGCTATTATAAACTGTTTACCAATGTAATTAGAGCAGTAAAAATAAATGTTTTGTCATACCGTGGTATACAGTCTGATATACCACGGCTGTCGGCCAATCAGCGTTCAGGGCTCGAACCACCCAGTCTATAATGTAATGTATTTACTGCATTGGGTTCAAGCTCCAAAAGGTATGGTGTAACGGTAATTTTTTGTAAACAAGAAAATGAGGATTATTTATTAACAGGCAATCTTACCGATGGGTCTTGTCCACCGACTGTTTGATGGACCAGAAACTGACGTCGTTCCACTTGGAGATCTTCACAAAGTCCTTGAGCTCCTTCTCAATGGGCTGGCGGAGCTGAGTGACTTTGGTCTGGATGCATTCTGAGAACTGTGAGTAGTACTTGTGCAGATTCCATAGGAGACTGCAGAGAGGTTCTGTGAAAGCAGGAAGGATTTCCTATTCAGAACTACATCTGCATGTCTAAAAGGTGAACACCAAGTCAACTGACTTAGTGCAGACTACTGTGTATCTGTAAAGGTGACGCTGGGTTGGGTCCCACCTTGTCCGTGCTGGCTGGGGGCCAGGAGGATGTGGCAGTGGAAGCTGAGCAGCATGGCCAGCCGCGTGTGGTACTCCCCTAGGGTGGAACCCTCCATGAAGGCCTGCAGCGTGGACGACACCGTGGACAGGGACAGACTCTCCAGAGACAGATCGCCCTCTACTGGAGACAACACAGAGGACAGGGAGAGTTAGCTGGGTAAGATACAGTTCTTCCTAATACTCCAGTTCATTAGGCCATGCAATGGAAAACGCTTCATTTTCCCCCCCAACAGAAACAAAAAATGTTTGTTTCTTATTGGACAGGTCCAGGTAGTCCCTTCCTGTTTTAGTCTGTTTTCTTCCGTTTGGTACCTTATGAATGTGATCCAACGTTATTATCAATGTGCAATAGGTACCTGTGCTGGTGCCCATCCTCTGCTCCTCCAGATACCTCTCAACCAGCTGGTAGAGTGAGAACCAGTGCTTGGTGGATCTCTCTGTGTGACGCTTCAAGGCATTGTCCAGACTGCTGGACCAACAGCTGTTGATGCATATAAAGAAAGAAAATAAAATAACTTAAAGTCTAGTGCAGGGTTCTTCAATTCCGGTCCTGGAGGGCCAAAACACTTCTGTTTTTTATTTCTACCTGGTAGTTAATTGCACTCACCTGGTGTCCCAGGTCTGAATTTGCCCCTGATTAGAAGGAGAGGATGAAAAACAGAGGTGTTTCGGCCCTCCAGGACCGGAATTGAAGAACCCTGGTCTAGTGGCTTGTGTGAAACTGGATCCATTTTTCTCCCATAGTGTTAAAATGCATGCTAATTGCTCATCAAGAGTCTGCACTACAATAACTCTAACCCAAAATGATGTTATATTTTTAAAAGGTAATAGTATCATAACCAGGATTATAACCCTGCCTGTTGTTTCCGTTTCTTACTTGAGCTCCAGTTTGCGCCACTGGATGATGAGGTTAGTGACAGGCTCCAGCTCCCTCCTCAGAGAGACCTTGCGGCTGGCGTTGTTCTCCCAGTCCTGAGGAGGGCAAAGGGGGTTAGGTTAGAACAGGGTTAGCGCCATTGATGGAAGACATGGGCTGCGTCCCAAATGGCACCCTATTGCCTTTTTAAGGCACTACTTTTGACTAGGGCTATAGGGAATAGGGTGCCACTTGGGACACATCTATAGGGAGTGTGTATGGAGCCTTCCCTGGGAGAGCTAGCCATATTTACATTTCACGTTTAAGTCATTTAGCAGATGCTCTTATCTAGAGCGACTTACAGGAGCAATTGGGGTTAAGTGCCTTGCGCACATCTCCAGATTTTTCAACTAGTCGGCTCTGAGATTCGAACCAGCGACCTTTCGGTTACTGGCCCAACGCTCTTAACCGCTAGGCTACCTGCCGCCACTGGATAGCCTTGCCACATATCTGTTTGTACGGTCTTGCCAACTCCTATGGTCACGACAGCACAAACATACTGCATCTAGGACCAGGCTAAGAGAGGGAGAAAAACAGCAGTGGTGGTGGCAGGAGGACTCACCTGGGCTTTGCTGAGCAGGATCTCCAGGCCGTTGAGGAACTTGGCCAGTGGGCTGGCCAGACTGAAGGCCATGATCCTCTCCATGACCACCGTCAACTGGAACAGAGAGACAGACACAGCAACACTAAACACCTGAATGCTTACTGACACTGGTGGAAGGACTCATTAGCCTATGTTTATTTCTCTCTTGTGAAAGCATTATGTTCCACACAGGAATGTGGATAGAATAGTAAGATCTCATCACTAGAACAGCAAACCCTACTAGGAGATAGTGGGGGAAAAAGTATTAGTCAGCCCCTTGTGCAATTCTCCCATTAAAAGATGAGAGGCCTGTAATTTATCATAGTACAGTCAATATGACAGTGAGATTTTTTTCTCCAGGTAATCACATTGTAGGATTTTAATGAATTATTCAAATTTATGTGAAAAGAAGTATGGTCACCTACAACAGCAAATTCTGGCTCTCACAGACCTGTAACTTCTTCTTTAAAGAGGCTCCTCTGTCCTCCACTCGTTACCTGTATTAATGACACCTGTTTGAACTTGTTATCAGTATAAAAGACACCTGTCCACAACCTCAAACAGTCACACTCCAAACTCCACTATGGCCAAGACCAAAGAGCTGTCAAAGGACACCAGAAACAAAATTGTAGACCTGCACCAGGCTGGGAAGACTGAATCTGCAATATGTACGCAGCTTGGTTTGAAGAAATCAACTGTGGGAGCAATTATTAGGAAATGGAAGACATACAAGACCACTGATAATCTCCCTCGATTTGGGGCTCCATGCAAGATCTCACCCCGTGGGGTCAAAATGATCACAAGAACGGTGAGCAAAAATCCCAGAACCACACGGGGGGACCTAGTGAATGACCTGCAGAGAGCTGGGACCAAAGTAAGAAAGCCTACCATCAGTAACACACTACGCCGCCAGGGACTCAAATCCTGCAGTGCAGATGTGTCCCCCTGCTTAAGCCAGTACATGTCCAGGCCCGTCTGAAGTTTGCTAGAGTGCATTTGGATGATCCAAAAGAGGATTGGGAGAATGTCATATGGTCAGATGAAACCAAAATATAACTTTTTGGTAAAAACTCAACTCGTCGTGTTTGGAGGACAAAGAATGCTGAGTTGCATCCAAAGAACACCATACCTACTGTGAAGCATGGGGGTGGAAACATCATGCTTTGGGGCTGTTTTTCTGCAAAGGGACCAGGACGACTGATCCGTGTAAAGGAAAGAATGAATCGGGCCATGTATCGTGAGATTTTGAGTGAAAACCTCCTTCCATCAGCAAGGGCATTGAAGATGAAACGTGGCTGGGTCTTTCAGCATGACAATGATCCCAAACACACCGCCCGGGCAATGAAGGAGTGGCTTCGTAAGAAGCATTTCAAGGTCCTGGAGTGGCCTAGCCAGTCTCCAGATCTCAACCCCATAGAAAATCTTTGGAGGGAGTTGAAAGTCCATGTTGCCCAGCGACAGCCCCAAAACATCACTGCTCTAGAGGAGATCTGCATGGAGGAATGGCCAAAATACCAGCAACAGTGTGTGAAAACCTTGTGAAGACTTACAGAAAATGTTTGACCTGTGTCATTGCCAACAAAGGGTATATAACAAAGTATTGAGAAACTTTTGTTATTGACCAAATACTTATTTTCCACCATAATTTGCAAATAAATTCATAAAAAATCCTACAATGTGATTTTCTGGATTTTTTTTCCTCATTTTGTCTGTCATAGTTGACGTGTACCTATGATGAAAATTACAGGCCTCTCGCATCTTTTTAAGTGGGAGAACTTGCACAATTGGTGGCTGACTAAAAACTTTTTTTCCCCACTGTATGAGATACTTATAAGCCCATAGGTTGGGTCACACTCATGGTTCTTACCTGCACTAGGGCAGGGTGCTCAGGCCACTCCTCCAGCCTCTGTCTGACGGCTAGGGCCAGCTGTTCCAGTACTGGCAGACACAGGCGGGCCTCACTCATGTTGGGCTGCTGGTAGAAGTCATAGGGCCCGTCTGGCTGGAGGGTCAGGCCTTCGGGCCCCGGGGTCCCCTGAACCGTGTTCTGGAGCAGGGCGCTGAGGAGCAGCTGGGTGCCTGTCATCTGCTGGTCCATCTCAGAGTCTAAGGGCCACAAGGAGGAAATACAGTTTTAGACAAAGTCATAATGTCTTAAAACAGCAAACAGTAGAGTTATGGAAATATTCTAAAGAGAAGAGCAGGATTCAGGTAAATCATAGGATAACATACTGTAGGCAGGGCTTAAAAGTCCCAACACCTGTCCATTTCAGACGTTGTGTAATTGTATAGATATGCATACAGACATGGCATGACTAAGTGTACTACCCACCCATGAGATGGTAGAAGCGTGACATCACAGGGGCTGTGGTCTGATAGGAGGAGACCAGAGCTCGGATGTGATCTCTGCTGTGATTGGCTGGAGCACTGGCCTGGTACCACAGTGATTGGGTGTAGCCCAGACAGAGGCGTTGATGGACCTGTACCACAGTGTTCATACAGGCTGGAGAAAGGAAGCCAGCCTCGCTGGGATCCTCTGTCACTTCCTCCTCCTCTGGCTCTCCTCTGTCTGCCGGTCCTTCCAGACTGGGCTGGGCAGTGATGTCAGCAAAGTCCTGAGGCGAGAGAGATAAGAGAAAGTGATAGAGAGAGAGCGTTATAGAGAGAGAGAGAGAGCGTTATAGAGAGAGAGAGAGCGTTATAGAGAGAGAGAGAGCGTTATAGAGAGAGAGAGAGAGTGTTATAGAGAGAGAGCGTTATAGAGAGAGAGAGCGTTATAGAGAGAGAGAGAGAGTGTTATAGAGAGAGCGTTATAGAGAGAGAGAGCGTTATAGAGAGAGAGAGCGTTATAGAGAGAGAGAGAGAGCGTTATAGAGAGAGAGAGAGCGTTATAGAGAGAGAGAGAGCGTTATATAGAGAGAGAGAGCGTTATAGAGAGAGAGAGAGCGTTATAGAGAGAGAGAGAGCGTTATAGAGAGAGAGAGAGGAAGAGAGAGAGAACGTTATAGAGAGAGAGAGCGAGGAGAGGGATAGGCGTATAGAGAGAGAGAGCGTTATAGAGAGAGAGAGAGCGTATAAGAGAAGCGTTAGAGAGAGAATAAGGCGCGTTATAGGGAGAGAGAGAGAGCGTAAGAGAGAGAGAGCGTTATATAGAGAGAGAGCGTTATAGAGAGCGAGAGCATTTGAGAGAGCGAGAGAGGCAGGTGAGTTATGGATGCAAAGGTGACAAGGTGATAGTGAAATGTGATAAACCAAAGAGAGATTACATTGGTACTATACCGTACCTTGTTGAACTGGGGGAAGCAGCGTCTGAAGTCTCTCTCCTCTTGCTCGTCCTCGCTCAGTCCCGTTCCGTGGAGTCTGCTTCGGTGGCGGTACAGACTGGCCTCGAGCTGCTCTCCTCTCCCGTGCACGTCTCTCCTGCTCGTCCCACTCATTCACCAGAGCCTGGACATATCACATGGCAAACAACATGAACACTGGTTGGTCCACCTGACTATCAACCAATAAGATCAGACCACAAACACCAATCAAAAAGTGGACATCCAATGTTATCCAATCAAAACCTGTGATGCCCACCTGACAGATGTGTCTGAAGAGTTTGAGTGTGTCCTGGCTGAGCTGGCCTGTGGAGAGGGCGTGACACTGCAGGTACAGCAGAGCGTTCAGGAGTAACATCCCGGGCTCTGGGACCACTTGATCCAGGTCCTGCTGGGGTAAGAGCTTCCCTAGGCCCCTCAGAACATCCATACACCCCCTGGAGCACAGGTAGTCTGCCCTGGCCAAGTAAGAGGGCAGGCTGGGGGACACAGAGGGGAAGGCCAGCAGGCAGGACACCAGCTTGGGCAGGCCAGGAATGGGGGTGAGGGAGGAGGCCACCTGGGATGCCACCAGCCTCATGCCGTGCCGGAGCTGGAGGATGGCGGTCCTCAGGGGCCCCACCACGTCAGGGTACAGCGGGTACTCCTCCGCCAGCCTCTGGGCGAAGCGGTGCTGCGAGGCCTGCCACACGGCCTCCTCCTTCAGCAGGCCCTGAGTCCCCAACCTGAATTTGGGGCCGCTCCCCTGGAGGGCTTTCAGCAGGTGGGAGAGCAGGTCTTCCACAGCGGCTGGCTGGCCGATGCTGCAGAGGTAGTGCTGCAGCTCCTGGAAGAGCCTGCCGTACTGGGGCTCGTTGGGCCTGCAGGCCTGCTTCCTGGAGAGCTCTGCTATCTGCTCCTTCACCTGCTGCATACGGATCCACAGGTACCTTGCAGACACAGAGACAATTAAGTTTAAAAAGACCCTATCTGGCAAAAACTAGTCAACCAGAACTATCCGTGGCCAAATGCATAATATAGTGCCATGGTGTTTTAGGTCAGACACATTGAGTTTTGATACTGTGGACGGTCGTTCACCTGATGCGAGGATGCTGGAAGCCGTCAGTGGTGCTGCTTTCCTCCAGCTCAGCTCCGGTCAGCAGCTGAGAGGACAGACTGCGTCCTCTCCACTCCTCCTGCAGCAAAGCCAGCTGGGAAAGAGAGGAAGAGGCACCGTCGACGTCACATATAAGAGAACATAATGGATCTCTACTCCAATGTTAAAAAGTTAAGAGACTTAATATCTCCTGTCATTACTACCCTCTACTACTGTACAATGTTGAAAGGAATAAGAGACTGCTGCATTGACAGTGGCCCACCTCCTCCTGGGCGTAGTCCAGCTTGTAGGCTCTCTTCACGGCCGGGTCGAAGATGGTCTGTGGGGTCCAGGTCTTAATCTGCAGCAGGCCCATGTTGACCCAGAAGACTCCGGAGCGGACCAGCTGGCTGAAGCCCTGGACGCGGATGGAGCCCTGGACCCTGTTCTGGACAAACTGCTGCAGGCAGGTGAGGAGGGCGTCCAGCAGGCCTTCGGGGAGCAGGTTGGGGGGCAGGAAGTCCCTGAGGGCGTCTGGACCTCCTGGGCAGCTACCAGAGGGTCCTGGTCCTCCACCAAGCTCTCACAGGTCTCTGTGTAGCCCTCCTGCAGCCCTGGGGGGAGCAGCTCCGACAGGGATTGTAGCTGCCTGCGCAGCACCACACCCTGCAGCCGCAGGTCAGTACTCCTGAGAGAACCGAGAGAGAGAGAGAGTGTGAGACAGATAGAGATAATCTAGCCAAATGAAATGAATATGAATAGCGGTCTTATAGACATGCATCAAAACCATAGATTGTGTGCACCACTCTTGATATAGGTAGGGTAAGGAGGTTTTCTATTTATAGTGCCAGCGTTCTATATGTTGTGTATGGTGATTCCTCTCTATGAGCCTGAGGTACCTGAACTCAGCCAGGGCCGGGACAGCCATGTTGTCCCACAGCACGGCGGTGACATCTTGGAGCTGCTCAGTCCTCTCCCTCCACTCCCCCAGGGTGACCCGGGACGAGGATAAGAGGGTTGTCCCCGTGGGGTCCCAACGTCCCCCTGTCTCGCTGCTGCTAAGAACCCCTAACATGCACCTGGACCACACTGCTTTGCTCAGCATGTCAGGACCCTAGAGGTGACACAAGGAGAGTGAGTGAACGCATCAGTTATGGAAAACGCAAATTCTATTAAAGAATGAACTAATCTTGTCCACCAGCCGGCTCTGTATGTGGTAGCAACTGAGCCTGGGGACAAGGTTAAGAAGTAACATATTGGAATCAGAATGGCAGGAAATTGAATTAAATTCTGTGATGTAAATGGGTCCAAATCCTGATGCACAAATCAAATCAACATCATTGACATCAACACACATTGAGTTTGTTTTGGCAAGCTCTCTAATATCATAGATGTTCCATTAGCTACCATTATTTCAGGTCCCAGAGGTGACTTGGATGATATCATCTGGCCCTCAGGACACATGGGGTCCCACTTCAGCCAGCGCTCGGGGTCAGAGGTCACACTGCTGCTCCACAGGGCCGACAGGGCCTCCGACAGCAGATCACACCACACAAACTGCAGCTCCTCCACAGGCTGGGAGGGGAGATGCAGGCAGGCACCACAGTCAACAACACATGACACAAAACCACATCTTCTGCTCTATGTTTGAGGCACAGGTACAGGAATGTCCTCTTGAAGGACAATACAAATTAATAAATCAATCAATTATACTGAGGGTAAACTGGTTGAACCACTGACCCGGTCACTGCTGAGGAGGAACCAAAGGGGCTGGAGCTGGCTGACGTTCATGGGGGTGGACTGGAGACAGAAGCGCAGGTGTTGGGAGACCTCACGACGCAGGCTGTCCTCTGAATCCCTGTCCCTGTGGACAAAAGTCAACTCTAGTTAGTTATCGATACAACTACATGACACAACAAACTTATTTTTTATGTCATTATTGGTGGTTTTGTGTGATGTTTTTAATATGCCAAGATGATACATTTGAAACAATAGATACTTTCAGGCATGATTCAAAATCTGATTCAGTAAAGCAAGATAATCCTCCATCCTCCATGAATGTATTTCCTCCGTTGACCCAGTTTTGGCCGTCTCTTACCCCTGTGTGAGAGCCAGCTGCAGCAGGTCGGTGCTGAGCCTGAGCTGGTTGAGTACGGCCAGTTCCTCCATGAGTGGCCAGAGCTGGGCCCTGCGGCTGAGCTGCTGTAACACCTCCCTACAGGGAGGGGCACTGTCCCCCTGGTCCCCCTCATCATGCATGGAGGAGTGTACCTCCAGAAGGCCACACAAGGTCATGTGATCCTGCTGCTGCTGTACGCACGACACCAGCCTCTCTAGGACACCTGGGGTCAGGATAGAATGGAATAATTAATAGTTAGACAGACGCAAACACAGACAGACACACAGACAAAGAGACACATACTTCACTCTGTAGCACCAGGTTACCTGAGTTCTGGGGCTCTAGCTGGTTGTTGGCTAGCAAGACCAGGCCCCAGGCTTCTAGCAGGCTTTCCTTTGTGTCCAGGCCCAGAGCGGCTCCCTGCAGGCGGACCAGCTCCTGTCTCCACAGAGAGGCTGTGTTGTCCAGCCTCAAGTCGCCCACGTCCAGGGCCCTGCTCAGGACCCTCAGCTGGGAAGCACACTCAGCCACAGACTCCAGCTACGGGAGATGGAGAGGGAGACAGCTTCATATCACATGACTATCTCCATGGAACTCTATCTGATGAAGGTGTCTGACAAATACGTTATTCAATGTTTTTAACTTTGACAATACATTTTTTTTATTTTTTTATTTTTTTATAATGGAGAATTCAACTTCAGAGATCTTCTGGTATCATTTGATTATTTAAGTTAGCACCTCTACTCCACTTGTTTGAGTGCCAATAACAGTTAGGGGAGTGTAAAGGTAGGTAGTGTTTGTGTTTCTCTGTACCTTGAATGGAAGGGGTTTCCCCAGCATCTTCTGGATGCTCTTCAGGGCGGTGGCCATGGTAACAGAGGTGGACAGGACGGTCTGGATGGCAGCTGACACCGTCTGGAGCTCCTGCTGACCACTGGAACAGCAGGATAGAACATGGTTGTTGTCAGTCATTACATTGCAGCCAGAAAACACAAAGTCTGCCTCCCAAATGACCTTTCCCTATATTAGTACACTGGCTCCGGTCAAAAGTAGTGTACAATGTAGGGAATAGGGCACCATTTGGGACGCAGACAAAACAACTTTTACAGTCAAGTCAATGTCATCGATTCTAATGTCCAGAATGTCTATTGGAGGATTCTAATAGTGACTCCTGGGTAAAAGGAAGGCGGTACTCACTCATGGGTGCCATCTCCCAGTAACAGCTGTGGCAGCCGGAGGATGAGGTGTTTCTGCACCCACTGCCAGTGTAGCGAGAGGACCGACACTCCCTGGGAGTCGGCAGGCAGAGAGTTACACACCTGCCAGAACCGGTCTCTCCACTGCAGCAGCTGCAGGATCTGTGGACACCATAGAGATAATATTTATTACTACCGTTCTATTTCATTCTGTGGTGGACACAACACACAAAAAGAAGTTAAGCCAAGGTTGACGACGGTTACTGAATGAGAAAAACTAAAAATGGAACTACAATGACTACTACGGTATTATGACTGTAGTGACTGAGTTCGACGAACCTCGAACATGAGATGGTCAGATATGTAGGGTTGTCCAGATTGCACGGCCTGCAGTGTGAAGGTGTCCCACAGGTCAAAGAAGGAGCGCAGGTGCATCAGCACTGGGTGGGGCAGATGCCCAATGTCCACCGTCCCTTTAACGGTCAAAACAAACACTAATATTAGAACACCAACAATATTAAAACCTTTATATGTGTACAGTGACAAATTACTATATACTTGAACAAGGACTTCCACTGGGTTTTGTTAAACATGGTGTAGTGTACAGTCACCAAGTGAAGATGGAGAAGAAACTCACCTACACTAGTGAATATGTATTTGTGTACCTTTAGAGAAAGCAGTGGCCAGCCTCAATGCACTGTTGTGTGCTGATGTCTTGATAGCGCAGCTCCCCACCGCAGCCCTCTCCTCTCTGTCCATCAACAGTATGATCCTGTAAAGACACACATCACATCCAGGTTACTCAACAACCACAGCCACCATGTAAACCCAGTTACTAAACAGCCAGACTACCGGATGGAGGCTGTGTCCCAAATTGATCCCTATTCCCTATATAAGGCACTCGTTTTGACCAGAGCCCCATATGCCCTGGTCAAAAAGCAGTGCACTATATAGGGAATATGGAGCCATTTGGGACACAGGCAGACACATACCTGTTGGCCACTGCGTTGAGGGCCTCCATGAACTCCATGTACCTCTCCTCGTCCTCAAAGTTACACGTGTTGGCCAGAATGTCCAGGTACTGCTTGTTCCAACGCATGTCCACCAGAATCCTGTAGTCATCTAACAAGAACACAGACATGACCAGTAATGTCAGTTGTTCAATTTGTGAAAAGTAAATGTTTTGATGGGAGTTATGGTATGTAAGATCTGTGAAAAAGAGCTGGAGGGTGTTCCGAAATAGCTGGGGAGTTTTTTTTTTTTGTACAATCGGTATACAGAGTATACGTTGAGGAATTGAGTTAGTTTAGCCTACCTGTGCTGTGTGGTTGCAGCAGCTCAGTGAGGCACTTCCCCTTCACAGTCAGCTTGCTGCTGAACATGGCCTTCAGAGCTCTGTTCCCTGCCTCCAGCTGCACCAGCGCCACCTCTGTAAACAACAAACTGATCTCAGAGAGGTCCTTAAGAGTAACATGCACCACATAGACAGACAGCTACAAAGCTCCACTGACCACAGAGTAGTCCCTTGACATAAACAGTAACATAAACCAAATGCACACCCCTGGTAGGTAGCAACAAAGCTCCAAAAAGGATAAAAGCCCTAGGAATAAGGGCAGTGAGTGAGCTTCCTACCAGGGGCGTGCTTGTAGCTCTTGGCTAGGCTGGAGAGCCAGGCGGTACGGAGCATCCAGTCGGAGTGTGAGGCCCTTTCGATGAGCAGCCTGACGGCGGTGGGCAGCAGGCGTAGGGCGTCACCGTCCTCCACCAGGTCCACTACGCCGCCGGAGAACACCAGACCCTCGTGCAGCACTGTCCCGCTCTGAAGCGCCCTCTGGAGGTCACACAGGCTCAGCGGACGGCTCCTGGTGACACACACAGACACAAGTCAAGCTAAACGGTAGTGACAATAAGTCCCGGTAAAACTCTGGGGCCTAGTTCTAACCTGTTTGTCATATGATCAGTAAAAACTCCTGGCCCGACCTGTGACATACGAGTCTCACCTCTTGCCCTGCATGCTGAGCGTGTTGAGGCAGAAGGAGAGGACCTGTCCGTCGCGGAGGACCGAGGAGAAGCAGGAGTCCTCCGTGGATAGCAGGGCAGAGGGGAAGCCATCGGGCCACACCCCGGCACACAGCAGTCCGCTGCCCCAGTCCTCTGTGTCCAGGATGGACAGGTGCCGCTCAATCACCTCCTGGGCTTGCTGGAACAAACAGAGCATAGGACAAAACATGTCAAGCTTATAAATATGATATAATATGACAATAAAAGTCGTATTGGACAGTGGGATGTCACTACACAGATCTAGACTGGTCGGCAGGGTATGCTACATCACAGAGTAACAGGGAGAGGCTGATTGACTGAGGGTAGCAGTGAGAGTTTTAAACAGTGTTCTATAATAGACAAGCTGGTGTTGGTTGGTACCCGTTGGCTGGCGTTGGTGCGTTGGCAGAGGGAGTAAGCCTCCCCACAGGCGTGCTGCAGGGCACTGGGCAGGTCCACCCCTCTCTGCAGCTGGCAGGACAGCAGGGCTGCAGCGTGGAGCAGGGAGGAGACACATGACGCAGGGGAGTCTGGATGGACAGAGAGAGAGATTCATATGGATACCATCTATGGACACCTTTCATTTGAAGAAACAAGCAAGTTGCCATCCCCAGCTGACATCTAACTGATATCCGACTTCATTTGGAGAGGTTTCTCTCAGTGCCCAGTGCTCACCCCAGATGGTAGCTTTGATGTCGGTGTGTATCTCGATCAGCAGGTCACACACACAGTCTCCGGTCACCCCAGCGGTGTGGAGCACAGTCTTCAGGTCCAGCGTGTCCCAGCAGACGCCCTCGTGTTCCCCTGGGATGTAGATCTCCACCCCTCGGTTCCTCATGGCTCTGGAGATCTGTCCATGGACTGGGTCCATGGTCAGGAACAACCTAAAGGAGATGGGAGACATGATGAGTTGAGACTGGACTATCCAAACAGAGTGTGTGTGTGTGTGTGTGTGTAATCCTTTGTATTTTACCTGAAGTTGGGGTGTGGGGTGATGGAGGGTGTGGTTCCGTCGATGACCCCGCGCTCGTTGATGGTCAGACAGCCGCCGGGCTCCAGCAGGGCATTCAGACGGTCCAACACAGAAGGACTTAACACAAACATAACAGCCATTTACCACACGTCTACCATCTGCAACACACTCTGGTGGCATCCTGCATCAGACCAAGGGTTAACTCAGACCAAGGGTTTCAGGAACTACCTAAGAAATATAGCGGTATCATTTCCTTCAATGTGATCATTTCAGATTCAGGCCCTGGTTCTGCTAAAGGCCTAATCTACTTTAAATGACAAATGTAGTGTTATTATTAGCTTTATTGTGATCATTTCAGATGCAGGTCCTAGTCATGCCATTGGCTGCATTTCTCACCTGCAAAAGTTGACGTTGTCCATGAGCAGCCAATCCCCAGCCTGTAGGGCCTGCACCAGCATGCCGTCCAGCCACTCAAAGCCTCCGTTACTCCAGCCGTCCTGCAGCTGGGCCAGACGCTCCTTCAGCAGGGTGAAGTCCATCTGCAGCTTGGACATGTCTTGAGGGAGGGTGGGGACACAGAACATAGAGTTTACACTACTCACCCAGAGTTTATCACATGAAGACGGGGAGATCTTTTCCTCTAGCAATGACACGTGCTGTGAGCAAAATGTTATGGTTCGTTTTCCCACAGCGCCTGTGTAGAATGACCTAGTGTAGAACGAACTAGTGTAGAACGACCCATTAGCACCCAAATGTACTACTTACTTCAAACATTTCATTAAATCACTACCCATACACTCCGTCACCATGATTCTAGTGATAGTCTGTTCCAGAGGGAGCTGCCTGGTCCTGACATTACCTGTAGGAAGATGTAATTGTCCGATGCATTTGTGATGTACCTTCCTGCCTGTTTGTGTTCTTCAATAAAAAATAAAGTTGACAAAAAGACATTACCTGTGAACACCTTGAGTTTGGTGTTAAGCTTCTGCAGAAGGAGGATGATGACCTCCAGTTTGTTGAGTGCCTCCGAGGTCACTGTCCCCCCGGTCCTCTCCAGCCCCTCCTCCTTCAGCCAGCGGTAGAACAGGCTCCAGGTCTTCAACAGGAACTCTGTATCCTGCACCCCCGCCCCGTCCAGCGACATCAGACCCCGCCGCGTCACCATGGCAACGATGTAGTCCACGTTCTCCAGCACCTGCTGCCAGGGCCGCACGATGTCCACCTGGAAAAGAAACCGACCCAACTCAACGCTCTTGAAAAGGAAAGGGAGCCAACCCAACCCGTGCTGCAATCCCAACTCAACCAGCACTATAATTCAACACTCTATACTAAAAGCTCACAAATGCTACAAAGAACTTACCCTACAAAGAAGCGTGTTTGACTAAATTGCAGTCGGACTGCACAGAATCACTGATCTACAAATCACCTTGCATTCCTAATTACTACTCATTATGTGTCTTGATCACATAACCATTCTGCTCATCACCTTGCTCAAAATGATCCTCGCAAAAGTCTCTCTGTGATTGGTTACCTGCTCGAACCCTCCCAGCAGCTCGGTGGTGTCCATGGCGCTGTTCATGGCCATGACGCGGAGGCGGTGTCCGGTGAGCAGAGCCAGGAGGCGCACCAGGCTAGTCTTTCCGCTGGCCGTGGGGCCAACCAGCACTGCCATCCAGCCCATCTCCACACACTTCATCAGGGATTCCAGGGGCCGCAGCGCCTGGTGGGTGATGGACAGAGGGGGGTCCAGGGCCACAGGGGCTCCTCCGCTACGCTGGAGCACAGAGAAGCCCACCTGGATGAAAGGGAGAGAGGAGGAGGACAGAGAGGAAGGTCAATTCACTGCCTCGATAATTAGCTCTGAATGACACCATGTTATCAGTACGATCAAAACATTTATTGATAATATCTTTCAACCGAAAATTGGATGGAGTTCGCAACATGACAGACCTGCAAATTGAGTGGAGTGATGTGGAATTGTCTTGATCCGGTGTAGGGCTCAAAGTCCTCACCAAACACCTTCCTGAACACAGACAGCACCTGAAGACAACACACAAAACACGTCAAGAGATAAAAAAGAAAGTTTGAACACAAACCCACCAAGTAAAGGTACTACATATGTACAGGAGTTGTAGTCTACATACCTGGGCTTTGTCTGCCTCGGTCCTCATCCTGTCAGCGTACACCAACCCCACATGCTGCCCCGGGTTGAAGAACCCTGGTGATTGGTCGGTCTGCATCAGCTGACACCAGCGGAACATGTCACGCAGGTTGAACTCCCAGGGGCCTCCTCTCTGACCCCACTTCCTCTCCACAGACACCTCATGGACCAGCTGTGAGAAAATAAGAATACAACTTAGAACTTATGTCCATCAAAACATAATATTTTTACTGTCTGTTTTTTAGGGGAACAGTGTTAAAGAATGTGAGTGGCTGGGCAAATTGGTGTTTAAGACAGCAAAAAAGGACTAGGAGAAATATGGTGGCCAACACTGAAATTGGGGGGGGGGGGGCTTAGTCACTTCATGACATTACAGAGGGGACAGTTAAAGTGGAAAAGTCCTCAACATAAATCAGAGGGACTATAGTGATCCCATTTGACAAGGACATTGTGTTTTTGGTCACTTTGCCATGCACTAAATGTGAGGAACATCGGCCGCTGCTCTACAGGCTGGTGGGCATTGTCCTTGGCTGGCACAGTGAGGTCAAATATGGACACATGTCACCTCCCCAATGGTCAACGGTCACAGAGCCAAAAAACTGTCAGTGTAACAGGACTGCTCTACCTACCCGGTTGTTGAACTGCACCATTTTAGAGATGATCTGATTGTCAATGTTCGGGAAGATGGAGTCACCTATGAATTCCATGTCCTCACTGGTCAGTTGATCCACAAACACCTGAGAAAATAGGTGAAATGTCAGTTTATTTCCCCAAATGACTAAAATATATTCAATCAACCATAATATGTATTACATAATATATCTAAAAAAACACTAGCTCTTTATCACTTACCTGAGTGAATCTGTTGAGGAAGGATTTGGGCAGGCCCTTGCGCCCCCCTCCTTGTGTGAAGGGGTTCTGGCAGCCAAAGATCTTTGTCTTCTCGTGTTGCACCTGGAAGCTCATGCCCAGCTCTGGGATGTAGATCTCAGCACGGTGGTCAAAGCAGGCGTTTAACCCCTCCAGGACTGACTGTGATGCCAAGTTTAACTACACAGAAAAACACCGAAAAATAGACGTGTCATAAAATCTCATTCTTCTCCAAACATTTCTGTGGTCCCACGAAATTTCACCTAAAACAACACAAATTCAAGTAAGTTTATACAAATGTCTATTTGCTGGTGAGTTAATGAGCCCCCACCTCATCCAGGACAATCCAGTGTCCAGCCTTCAGTCCAGCCAGGAGAGGGCCATCCCGCCATGCAAACTCTCCCCCTTTTCCTCCCTCCACAGGCAGGTCGGTCCCAAACAGGTCTGTCACATCCTGTCAGGAAATGAAATGACATCATATATAGGTTAAAAGTGCTTCCACTTGTCCATTACTGTGTTGTTAATTCCTCACTCATTTAATTTCACAATCGTATAAATTTATAACAGTACGACAATATGATGTACCTGAAGTTGAAAGTTCAAAAATGACATAATAATACTATACAGTGGGTATAGAAAGCCACCCACTTTCAAAATGTTCACCTTTTGTTGCCTTACAGCCTGAAATGAAAACACATAAAATCAGACTTTTTCCCAGCTTTATTTACACACAGTAACCCACAATATCCAAGTGAAAAATAAATCTAAAAAAAAACGCTGAAAATTAAAACAGTAAAATACCTTATTTAGATAAGTGAACACCCCCCCAGAGTTAATACTTGGTGGAACCACCTTTTGCTTGAATTACAGCCATGAGTCTCTTTGAATACGTCTACTAACTTTGCACACCTAGATTGTGCAATATTTGCCCATTCTTCTTTGCAGAAATGTTCAAGCTCAGTGAAATTGCATGGCGACCGCTCATGGACTGCACTCTTCAAGTCATTCCACAGATTCTCGATGGGATTTAGGTCGGGGCTCTGACTAGGGCCACTCAAGGACATTTCCCTTCTTGTCCTTCAGCCACTGTATGGTTGCTTTGGCGGTGTGCTTTGGGTCATTGTCATGTTGAAACGTGAACCATCTTCCCATTTTCAACTTCCTGGCAGAGGGCTGCAGGTTCTCCTCAAGAATCTGTCGGTATTTTGCACTGTCCATTTTCCCTTCTATCCTGACAAGTGTTCCAGTCCCTGCTGAAGAGAAACACCCCCACAACAGGATGCTGCCACCGCCGTGCTTTACTGTAGGCATGGTGTTCTTTGGGTGGAAAAGTTTTCGCCAGACATCATTTTGCGTTCAGGTCAAAAAGTTCAATTTTGGTCTCATCTGACCACAGCACCTTTTGCCACTTGGCCTCAGAATCTACAATGTGCTTTTTGGCAAAGCTCAAACGAGACTTGATGTTGCCTTTTTTGAGGAGTGTTTTTTTTCTTGCCACCCTCCCATAGAGGCCAGATTTGTGGAGCGCTTGTGATATTGTGGTCACATGCACACATTGACCATTATTTTGCCATAAAGGCCTGAAGCTCCTTCAAAGTTGCCATTGGCTTCTTGGTAGCCTCTCTGATCAGTCTCCTCCTTGCCCAGTCATCCAGTTTGGAGGGACGGCCTGATCTATGCAGGATCTGGGTGGTTGCCATATGCCTTCCACTTCTTAATAACAGTCTTAACTGTACTCCGAGGGATAGACAAAGCCTTTTGAAATATTTTTATAGCCATCCCCTGACTTGTGCCTTTAAACAACTTTATCTCGTAGATCTTTTGAAAGTACCTTTCCGCCCATAGTGGATTCTTTGCTTTGAATTGCACTACTAAGCAGTGGAGTCCTCTATGAACAACTGCTTTTATTCTGAACTAATCAAAGTCACTATAACTGATCACAGATGGAAGCAAATTAGCTTGATTTTTGATCTGGAAGGTGGTTGTTTATACCTCAGCAAGGTTGCAATTGCAATTCTAGGGGGGGGTTCACTTAACCAAATAGGGTATTTTACAGTTTACATTTTTCTCACTTGGATATTGTGGGTTACTGTGTGTAAATAAAGCCAGAAAAAGTCTGATTTGATGTGTTTTCATTTCAGGCTGTAAGGCAACAAAAGGTGAACATTTTGAAAGGGGGTGGTGACTTTCTATACCCACTGTATACAAAATATGAATCCAGAAACTTTAAGTAACATTTTAAATTGGCATAATCATAGTAAAAGCCTTCTGTATTAACACAAGAGCCCCAGTGAAAGTTTGTGAACAGCGTCTTACAGTCTGCTCAGAGAGGTTGATCCTGACGAGGTGGTTCCCAGAAGCCTTTGCCAGGGCGGCCACCAGGCTGGTCTTGCCCACTCCAGGGGAGCCCTCCAGCAGCACAGGTCTCTGCAGCTTCAGGGCCCGTAGGAGCCTCTGGGCGTTGACCGCTGTGGTGCCTGCGGCTATGGCATAGTCAGTCAGGCTCCTGCCTTCACTCTCGGGGCCTGATCAGAATAAAGGACAAAAAAATTGATGGAAAAAGGAAACAAAATCAATGAAAAAGGTCAAACACATTCAAGACCAACTCTTATGACACACAGAAACTGAAGGATGTTTTACAAAAACAGATCCATTAAACTACATGCTCTAGTCTAGGCTTGCTTCCTATGGCACCCTATTCCCTATATAGTGTACTACTTTTGACCAGGGCCCATGCTCTAGTCTAGGATCAAAGTGTCCCCACCTGAGGGGATGTAGAAGGGGTCGATGCCAAAGAAGTCGTCCCCCCACTGGGGCTCCCTGGACAGGCTGGTGTCGTAGACCCTCAGGGCGTCTAGCATCTCCTGGTCCAGCTTGATGATCCCACCCAGCTTGGTATGCAGGAAGCTCAGGCAGGCCCTGCGCGCCACCAGGGCGTGCTCCGCAGCAGACACGGTGGTCCCTGTGACATCATAGATTCAATTATTATATGAGTTACTAAGCCTCATACAACAGCAGGCAGTGTCTTACACATGGTGTGTATTCTAGCCATACATAAGCAAAACAAATCTGGCACCAGATCATTTGCTGTTGTAATTCCACATCAACAACAGTCTGTGTCCCGGTGTCTGACCTGAGCCGATGCCGTCCACATAGACCAGGCACGCTGCGTGGATGAAGGCAGTCACCGTGTCCAGCCGGAGGTCCCACTCGGCCTCCTCCTCCTCGCCCTCGTCCCCCATGGTCATGAAGCCGTCGGCGTCGCGCTCACACACCAGGTTGAGGAAGTTGACCCAGGACAGGATGTCCCTGACGCTGACCACGCAGCGCCGCCCAAAGTCCTGGTTGGTCAGCCAGTCGATGAAGTCGAGCATGAGCTCAGCGATGTCTCCTCCTGGGTTGGGGGTCAAAGGGTCACGATGAGAGATGGCCACAACAAGGAAATAAAATCGATATTGAAAGTACTGGTGCCAAATAACACAGAGGGTGCAACACATTTGAAGCAAAGCACAACAAAAACAGGAGAAGTTTATATAAAATATGCAGTCAGACTATTCTAGCGTATTAAATGCTACTCCTAGATGAATAGATGTATTATGTCTGTGGAGGAAAGGAGTACCTCGGTGATCGTTATCGTCCAATGAGAGGCCAGTCCTCAGGTTGTGCTGGATGATCTGCACCAGGTCACTGCGGATGTTACTCTGGGGGCACCAGATCTCTGTGAACCTGTTCCTCAGTGCAGGGGAGAGCTGGATACACACAGAGAAATGTTAACAAGTTGGACTGATACATAACAAACAGAACTGCTTGTCGTCCTGTAGAGGCAGAGTTAGAAAGGAATAGAATCATAGAATATAGACTGTTCACCTCCTTCTTCCCGAAGTCTCCCCCAGGGTTCATTGTGGCTACCATGCGGAAGTTCTGCCCTGCTGTAATCAGCTCCACGTCGTCATCATCTCCACTACCTTTCTCTGCCAGCACCAGAGACTTCTCCGTCTCTAGGACACTGAGCCAATCAGAAAGCAGGGTCAGAACTTAGAGGTCAATGCTATCTAATGAAGTGCTATACGCTAATTATTTTTGAGGAAGTGACTCTATTCCTAAATCCACACTAGCGTACCATTTAGAATGAAGTAATGTATTGGGCAAGGATTCTAAGTAGTACGCTGGTGCCGATATTGGAACATAGTCAGTGTGTGTGTGTACCTGTTGAGTCTCTCCAACACAGAGTCGTCAGCCAGGGAGATCTCGTCCATGAGGAACACCCCTCCTTCTCTCATGGCCAGAACCAGGGGCCCGTCGTGCCACTCAAACAACCTGCCGTCCTCAGCGTCTGCCTGTACCAACACACAACGGGTCAGTGGGACTGCATTATCTGTTGCATTATCATTTGTGACTGCATTGTCTTTACTAATATAGCAGCACTTTTACCTCAATTACTGTAAGTTATAAATGCCTTATAAAGGGTTTATGAAAGCTTTGTTGAGCCTGATAAAATTCATAGCTAATTTAGATTGTGCCCAATAACAGTGTAGTATCTATCTACCTGCTGTGTCCCAGTGTGTCTGACAGGACGCAGGCCTCCCAGGAAGTCAGACGTCTCCATGTGCAGGTGACAGTTGAGGGAGAATAACTTCTGTCCAGCCAGCGCAGCAAACAGCTGGCAGATGGTGGTCTTACCACACCTGGGGGGGAGGAGAACTTGTTCTAACTGATCTGTCATTCTGGAGGCTAATACTTTAATGTAGTGGCTTCAGGAGAAGTAGACAGAGTGTTGTCTTTCTTTAGGTACTACGAACCCATTCACTTTACCATGCTTGCTTTGGAAATTATATTTATAATTCAAATGGACAATCAGGAACTCTGTATGAATCGTACCCAGTGTCTCCCACCAATAGAACAGACTCCCCGAAACGCAGGGCCCGACCCAACTGCACGGCCAGTCTCCTCATCCCCCGTGTCCACACCATGTGACGGAACTCCTCAGGCACTCCCGCAAAGCTGTCCACGAACGGACCTGCCAATCACAATATTCCCAGATTAATTCTTCTGACACACTGGCCAATAAAAATGGCCTACTAAACTTGATTACAATTATTAGAGTATGTTACGCAAAGGGAGGTGGTGTCATTCCAGTTGAGAAGGACAACACCACATGACACACAATCCATCCACTTCACACTCAATATTCATGTTCACACACTATTGACCCCAAATAATGGAGAACAGTGAAGTACATATTGAGTACGTACAACCACGGGTTATCTGAGGCTTCTCTTACATGCACTCATAGGACCACATCTTTATATTGAACATTCTCCCTATCATATTCTGCACTTTGACATTATAGTTTTAGTTGAATGCTTTCCTGTGTTGTTGACAATCTCCTCTAATATGAATTGACTGAAGAACAAGGTCATGCACTCAGTTGTGTTAAATTGGCGTCTGTGTGTGTGAACCAGGCTCTGCTCTACTCACTAAACTGTGCGGTGAGCTGCTCCTCTGAGAACAGGTTGTCAGGGTTCACCGTCCTCTTGAAGTGTTTCTCCAGGATAGACTGGATGGTGGTGGCCTCCTCTGGCTTCCTGACCCGCCCAGCCAGCAGCATGAACCCTGAGAGAGAGACAGAGACAGAGAATGCATTGGGTTTGATTACATTATATGAAGTGGATGTGTCATTGACACAATCAAATTGAAAGAAATTACAGAAAAAGCAAGAGACAAAAAACGAAATGTGCATTTTGCGTAAGATAGGGATGTGATTCGATTGGTCCTTACCATCATCAGCCAAATGCTGCAGCCAATCGCGTGCGTCATCCGTCTGCTCCTCCAGCCGATAGCGGTCGGCCCAGCGGAACAGATCTCTCAGGGTGATGAAGCCATGTTTCCCAGCAAACACTGTGGATCCCCTGCGAAGAGACTACACACACAACAACATTACCTCAATGCCAAAGGCAATGAGTTAGCAAGTGAAAGTGCTATGTGACACTCACCTGCAGATCCTGCATGACATTGACCAGCTTGGAGCAGTAGGACGGAGGAAGACTACATCTCTGGTGGAGGATGGTCTCTAGCTCGTCACTGGGCAACTCATCAAAGTGAAGCTCCACAAAACGATTTCTGAAGGCCCTAGACAGCACCTGAAGGGGGAAAGATTACATTGCACTCAATGAGACCTGGCCTGTCAAACTATACTACAGTGTTAATTTTGGCACTATTTTGGGGATCTAGTCTCAGTAATTTTGACCAAAATATAATTAAGTCACATTTTTGTCATTTCAATTATGATTTATTCTAGTTATTGTTAAAATGACGAAAACAGTGGGCCATTTTAGTCAACGAAATGCCCTTTTCATTTTTGCCACATCACATTTGTATTGCCTTACTGACTTTCATGTGCACAAACATTCAGTGAGGGAAAAAAGTATTTGATCCCCTGCTGATTTTGTAAGTTTGCCCACTGACAAAGAAATGATCAGTCTATAATTTTAATGGTAGGTTTATTTGAACAGTGAGAGACAGAATAACAACAAAAAAATCCAGAAAGACGCATGTCAAAAATGTTATAAATTGATTTGCAATTTAATGAGGGAAATAAGTATGACTCCCTCTCAATCAGAAAGATTTCTGGCTCCCAGGTGTCTTTTATACAGGTAACGAGCTGAGATTAGGAGCACACTCTTAAAGGGAGTGCTCCTAATCTCAGCTTGTTACCTGTATAAAAGACACCTGTCCACAGAAGCAATCAATCAATCAGATTCCAAACTCTCCACCATGGCCAAGACCAAAGAGATCTCCAAGGATGTCAGGGACAAGATTGTAGACCTACACAAGGCTGGAATGGGCTACAAGACCATCGTCAAGCAGCTTGGTGAGAAGGTGACAACAGTTGGTGCGATTATTCGCAAATGGAAGAAACACAAAATAACTGTCAATCTCCCTCGGCCTGGGGCTCCATGCAAGATCTCACCTCGTGGAGTTGCAATGATCATGAGAACGGTGAGGAATCAGCCCAGAACTACACGGGAGGATCTTGTCAATGATCTCAAGGCAGCTGGGACCATAGTCACCGAGAAAACAATTGGTAACACACTACGCCGTGAAGGACTGAAATCCTGCAGCGCCCGCAAGGTCCCCCTGCTCAAGAAAGCACATATACAGGCCCGTCTGAAGTTTGCCAATGAACATCTGAATGATTCAGAGGAGAACTGGGTGAAAGTGTAGTGGTCAGATGAGACCAAAATCGAGCTCTTTGGCATCAACTCAACTCGCCGTGTTTGGAGGAGGAATGCTGCCTATGACCGCAAGAACACCATCCCCACCATCAAACATGGAGGTGGAAACATTATGCTTTGGGGGTGTTTTTCTACTAAGGGGACAGGAAAACGTCACCGCATCAAAGGGACGATGGATGGGGCCATGTACCGTCAAATCTTGGGTGAGAACCTCCTTCCCTCAGCCAGGGCATTGAAAATGGGTATTCCAGCATGACAATGACCCAAAACACACGGCCAAGGCAACAAAGGAGTGGCTCAAGAAGAAGCACATTAAGGTCCTGGAGTGGCCTAGCCAGTCTCCAGACCTTAATCCCATAGAAAATCTGTGGAGGGAGCTGAAGGTTCGAGTTGCCAAACGTCAGCTTCGAAACCTTAATAACTTGGAGAAGATCTGCAAAGAGGAGTGGGACAAAATCCCTCCTGAGATGTGTGCAAACCTGGTGGCCAACTACAAGAAACGTCTGACCTCTGTGATTGCCAAAAAGGGTTTTGCCACCAAGTACTAAGTCATGTTTTGCAGAGGGGTCAAATACGTATTTCCCTCATTAAAATGCAAATCAATTTATAACATTTTTGACATGCATTTTTCTGGATTTTTTTGTTGTTATTCTGTCTCTCATTGTTCAAATAAACCTACCATTAAAATTATAGACTGATCATGTCTTTGTCAGTGGGCAAACATACAAAATCAGCAGGGGATCAAATACTTTTTTCCCCTCACTGTATATAGGCTTGTCCAACCAATATTTTTCTGCATAACATACTATTCTCTTCCCAACAGCAGAAATATGACAAACATAAGAATATATAAGAATTATCTGCCAATGTAAATTCTGAATTCAGCCTACTTAGATGTTGCACATTACATACAAAACAAACAGACGCACAGAAGCGCAGAGTGAGAGCAAGAGTGTCCCCTGTAATCGAGTCCGAGTCACCAATGGTTGGTCGAGTCACGAGTCCCTAGTCCGAGTCCCAGTGCTCGAGTCCTGGTCCACGTGCTCAAAATAAAGTGATTTACCCAGTCAGATATAGTGTAGTGGCAAGAGGAGTTATTTACCCAGTCAGATATAGTGTAGTGGCAAGAGGAGTTATTTACCCAGTCAGATATAGTGTAGTGGCAAGAGGAGTTATTTACCCAGTCAGATATAGTGTAGTGGCAAGAGGAGTTATTTACCCAGTCAGATATAGTGTAGTGGCTAGAGGAGTTATTTACCCAGTCAGATATAGTGTAGTGGCAAGAGGAGTTATTTACCCAGTCAGATATAGTGTAGTGGCAAGAGGAGTTATTTACCCAGTCAGATATAGTGTAGTGGCAAGAGGAGTTTATTTACCCAGTCAGATATAGTGTAGTGGCTAGAGGAGTTATTTACCCATCAGATATAGTATAGTGGCTAGAGGAGTTATTTACCCAGTCAGATATCGTGTAGTGGCAAGAGGAGATATTTACCCAGTCAGATATAGTGTAGTGGCTAGAGGAGTTATTTACCCAGTCAGATATAGTGTAGTGGCAGAGGAGTTATTTACCCAGTCAGATATAGTGGTAGTGGCAAGAGGAGTTATTTACCCAGTTGGCGTAGAGGAGTTATTTACCACCAGTCAGATATAGTGTAGTGGCTAGAGGAGTTATTTACCCAGTCAGATATAGTGTAGTGGCTAGAGGAGTTATTTACCCAGTCAGATATAGTGTAGTGGGCTAGAGGAGTTATTTACCCAGTCAGATATAGTGTAGTGGCAAGAGGAGTTATTTACCCAGTCGATATAGTGTAGTGGCTAGAGGAGTTATTTACCCAGTCAGATATAGTGTAGTGGCAAGAGGAGTGATTTACCCCAGTCAGATATAGTGTAGTGGCAAGAGGAGTGATTTACCCAGTCGATATAGTGTAGTGGCTAGAGGAGTTATTTACCCAGTCAGATATAGTGTAGTGGCAAGAGGAGTTATTTACCCAGTCAGATATAGTGTAGTGGCTAGAGAGTTATTTACCCAGTCAGATATAGTGTAGTCCAGATATAGTGTAGTGGCAAGAGGAGTTATTTACCCAGTCAGATATAGTGTAGTGGCTAGAGGAGTTATTTACCCAGTCAGATATAGTGTAGTGGCTAGAGGAGTTATTTACCCAGTCAGATATAGTGTAGTGGCTAGAGGAGTTATTTACCCAGTCAGATATAGTGTAGTGGCAAGAGGAGTGATTTACCCAGTCAGATATAGTGTAGTGGCAAGAGGAGATATTTACCCAGTCAGATATAGTGTAGTGGCAAGAGGAGATATTTACCCAGTCAGATATAGTGTAGTGGCTAGAGGAGTTATTTACCCAGTCAGATATAGTGTAGTGGCTAGAGGAGTTATTTACCCAGTCAGATATAGTGTAGTGGCTAGAGGAGTTATTTACCCAGTCAGATATAGTGTAGTGGCAAGAGGAGTTATTTACCCAGTCAGATATAGTGTAGTGGCTAGATGAGTTATTTACCCAGTCAGATATAGTGTAGTGGCTAGAGGAGTTTTTACCCAGTCAGATATAGTGTAGTGGCAAGAGGAGTTATTTACCCGTCAGATATAGTGTAGTGGCTAGAGGAGTTATTTACCCAGTCAGATATAGCGTAGTGGCTAGAGGAGTTATTTACCCAGTCAGATATAGTGTAGTGGCTAGAGGAGTTATTTACCCGTCAGATATAGTGTAGTGGCTAGAGGAGTTATTTACCCAGTCATATATAGTGTAGTGGCTAGAGGAGTTATTTACCCAGTCAGATATAGTGTGTGGCAAGAGGAGTTTATTTAACCCAGTCAGATATAGTGTAGTGGCAAGAGGAGTTATTTACCCAGTCAGATATAGTGTAGTGGCAAGAGGAGTTATTTACACAGTCAGATATAGTGTAGTGGTAGAGGAGTTATTTACCCAGTCAGATATGTGTAGTGGCTAGAGGAGTGATTTACCCCAGTCAGATATAGTGTAGTGGCTAGAGGAGTTATTTACCCAGTCAGATATAGTGTAGTGGCTAGAGGAGTTTTTACCCAGTCAGATATAGTGTAGTGGTAAGAGGGTTATTACCCAGTCAGATATAGTGTAGTGGCTAGAGGAGTTATTTACCCAGTCAGATATAGTGTAGTGGCTAGAGGAATTTAGTCAATAAATTGCTTACTATCCCTTTTCCTTTCTTTGTGTGCCACCAAATGTTTGCATATAGACTACTGGTAATTATTTATTTATTTTGTTACCAGGGCCACGTTCAGTTGCAAAATGTTCTCGAATGTTGCAGATAGAAATTACATTAATAGAGCCAACGTTTTTCCTTATTCAACATGTCAGATAGAAATATGCTATCTAGAACAAACATGCCTATCTGAACATTCCAAAACATTGCCTCCTGCTGAACGCGCCCTAGGTTATTAGGTATTGCTAGCTAATGAGGTAAAAAGACTGAACAAGGTGTAGCCTAAACAAATGGTTAACGGTCCGGTCCGCAAGTAGCCTAGTTTTAGAATGGCCCGCGATATGCTTTATGAATGTAAAAGACGGCCCGCCAAAGCACAAAAGAAGGAAAAAACATAGCGCCGGTATTGTGAGTCATATCTTTTGAACGGTAAGGCCTAGAATCAAGACGTTTTCTCTGAGGAAAAGAGGGAGAAATGCAGTGTGGAAAGTTGGAGGGTTGAGCGAGACTACAAATTCAAAGAGCCTACTTTTCTATACTCAAGGGAGAGCAAAACATAGCTAGACTGTTGCTTTACTATTAAACTCAATGCTACTATTGTTTTTAATTTTGTAAAGCAGCTTATGTTTCTTAACCAGGCAAAGGGTAGCTAACTAGAAGGCTGGTGGTGACCGGTTAGCTACGGGGAAGCAAGAGAGTCG